TGTGCGTGACTTGGGCTTCCGGACTGTGCGCAAACCACCTCGGCTGCGACGCCTGTACGGAGGCGGTCTCGGAACGGGTTCGGAACGGGTGCGGAACGGTCTCGGAGACGGGACCATTGGCACGGCCGCGCGAAGGTTTCGCAAGGTTTGAATTGCGTGGCAGGCGCAGCGCTTTCGCAAGGTCAAGTGTAGATTTCGTGACAGGCGCAGCACTTTCGCAGCACTTTCGCAAGGTCAAGTATCGATTTCGTGGCAGGCGCAGCACTTTCGCAAGCACTCTCTGCGAGCTGGGGGATGGCAAGATGCAGAAAACGTTGGCGCTGTGCGTGACTTGGGCTTTCGGACAGTGCGCAAACCACCTCGGCTGCGACGCCTGTACGGAGGCGGGTTCGGAACGGTCTCGGAGCGGGTGCGGAACGGGTTCGGAAACGGGCCCATTGGCACGGCCGCGCGAAGGTTTCGCAAGGTTTGAGTTGCGTGGCAGGCGCAGCACTTTCGCAAGGTCAAGTGTAGATTTCGTGGCAGGCGCAGCACTTTCGCAGCTACTTTCTTCGCACAGTCAAGTATGAGATTTCGTGGCAAGGCGGGCAGGCAACTTTCGCAAGCACACCTGCCGAGCTGGGGGATGGCACGAAGCAGAAAAACTTGGCGCTGTGGCGTGATTTGGGCTTGTTATCCGACAATGGTCGGCAAACCACCTCGTGACGCGACGCCTGTACGGAGGCGGGTGCGGAACGGGTTCGGAACGGTCTCGGAGACGGGACCATTGGCACGGCCGCGCGAAGGTTTCGCAAGGTTTGAATTGCGTGGCAGGCGCAGCACTTTCGCAAGGTCAAGTGTAGATTCGTGACAGGCGCAGCACTTTCGCAAGGTCAAGTATAGATTTCGTGGCAGGCGCAGCACTTTCGCAAGGTCAAGTGTAGATTTCGTGGCAGGCGCAGCACTTTCCCAAGGTCAAGTGTAGATTTCGTGGCAGGCGCAGCACTTTCGCAAGGTCAAGTATAGATTTCGTGGCAGGCGCAGCACTTTCGCAAGGTCAAGTGTAGATTTCGTGGCAGGCGCAGCACTTTCCGCATGTTTTTTTTTCCAGAGGGGATCAAGAAGCTGTGCACTTTCGCAAGGTCAATTATAGATTTCGTGGCAGGCGCAGCACTTTCGCAAGGTCAAGTATAGATTTCGTGGCAGGCGCAGCACTTTCGCAAGGTCGAGTATGGATTTCGTGGCAGGCGCAGCACTTTCGTAAGGTCAAGTACAGATTTTGTGGCAGGCGCAGCGTTTTCGCAAGGTCAAGTGCAGATTTCGTGGCAGGCGCAGCACTTTTGCAAGGTCAAATATAGATTTCGTTGCCAAGGTCAAGTATAGATTTCGTGGCAGGCGCAGCGCTTTCGCAAGGTCAAATACAGATTTCGTGGCTCGAAAATCGCAACTTTTAAGTACGAAAGTAGTACGTGAAGTCCACTTTTGCAGCTGGGGCTTGCAAATCGCAACTTTTAAGTACGAAAGTAGAACGCGAAGTCTACTTTCGCAGCCGGGGCTTGAAAATCGCAATTTTTAAGTGCGAAAGTAGTACGCGAAGTCCACTTTCACAGCTGGGGCTCGAAAATCGCAACTTTTAAGTACGAAAGTAGTACACGAAGTCCACTTTCGCAGCCAAGTGCAGGAAGCCGCAGAAAGACACGGGTGTCCTTTACGTGGCTCAAATGTAGTTACTTTCGTGACTTGGGCATTTGGCACACCTCACACTTGACCACGCAACTTGTCACACTTTACTCAACCCCACAGTCAGTCAAGCGCTCCAAGGGATGTTGTTTTGTGTTGTTCTGTTTGTGCAGAGAGTCACAGTCTGTAAGCAGTATTAGTGGCGCCCGTGTTTCCCCTCAGGGGGACTTTTTACAGACTACTCAGAAAATCAACAACGCATACGACTTTTTTTCAGAGGTTGGTGCTTCGGCCGGCCGCTTGCGCACCCGCTACTCAGGGCAGCTTGGCGTTGCAACCGGCTGCTCGCGCCATGGATCGCGATGACAGCAACATGAGTGAGGACCGCTTTCAGGTCCTGTTGACCTACCTGGCGGCAAACGCCGCAGAACTGCGACAGCTGCAGTGCCAAGACATGGTCTCGCTTTTGCGCACTGGCGAGGCCAGGCGAGGCAAGCCGGCCATTCCAGACAGGGCCGCCGGAGAAACAGTATCGTGCTGCGGGTGTGCCGTTTCGGGCCGCGCGCGAGAGCGCGGGGCCGAGCTAGCGAGCCGTTTCGGGCGTCGGGCCGCGCGCTCGCGCGGACTGCTGCACCGCTGAAGCAGACGAAGAGAAAAGCCTAGCTTTTGCGCTTGACACGCGTGCGTTTCGGGCCGCGTGCTCTAGCCCAGACTACAGCACGGATTGGGCAGACGCAAAGAAAAGGCGCTCTCGAGGGGGAGGGAGGAGAGTTGAACTTGAAGCGCTCGTTGGGAGCTTTGGAAAGGGAAAAAAAAAGAAAGAGAAAGAGAGAGAGAGAGAGAGAGAGAGAGAGAGAAAGAGAGAGAGAGAGAAAGAGAGAGAGAGAGAGAGAGACAGAGAAACAGAAAGAGAAAGAGAAAGAGAAAGAGAGAAAGAGACAAAGAGAGAAAAAGAGAGAGAGAGAGAAGCAAGGGGCCAAGGACAGTTCTCCAAACTATAGTTGTTCACTGCTTTGAAACTTCCGCCCCCCGGCTCTGCCGGACCTTACTTGTATTCTTATTCCTTCTTATTCCTTTTTATTCACATTCTTATTCCTTCTTATTCATTTCTATTGGCATTCTTATTCCTTGCTATTGACCTTCTTAGATCTTCTTATTCCTTCTTATTCCTTTCTATTGACCTTCTTATTCCTTCTTATTCCTTTCTATTGACCTTCTTATTCCTTCTTATTCTTTCTATTGACCTTCTTATTCCGTTCTATTGACCTTCTTATTCCTTCTTATTCGTTTCTACTGACCTTCTTATTCCTTCTTATTCCTTTCTATTCACATTCTTATTCCTTCTTATTCCTTTCTATTGACGTTCTCATTCCTTCTTATTCCTTCCTATTGACCTTCTTATTCCTTCTTATTCCTTTCTAGTTGACCTTCTATTCCATTCTTAATTCCTTTCTAATCACATACTTATCCTTCCTTATTTGTCCTTTCTATGGACCTTCCTTATTCTTCTTACCTCCTCTTCTATTGACTCTTCAGCAGCTTTCATATTCCCTTTCTATTGACCTTCTTTATTCCTTCTTATTCCGATCTAATTGACCTTCTTATTCCTTCTTATTCCGTTTCTATTGACCTTCTTATTCCTCTTATTTTCTTATTCTTTTCTAATTCACATTCTTATTCCTCTTATTCCTTTTCTATTACGTTCTTATTCGTTCTTATTCCTTTCTCATTGGATCTTCTTATTCCTTCTTCTTATTCTTTCTATTGACCTTCTTATTCCTTCTTATTCCTTTACTAAATCACATTCTTATTCCTTCTTATTCCTTTCTATTGACCTTCTTATTCCTTCTTATTCCTTCCTACTTACCTTCTTATTCCTTCTTATTCCTTTCTATTGACCTTCTTATTCCTTCTTATTCCTTGACCTTCTTATTCCTTCTTATTCCTTTCTATTCATATTCTTATTCCTTCTTATTCCTTTCTATTGATCCTTCTTATTCCTTTCTATTGACCTTCTTATTCCTTCTTATTCCTTTCTATTGACCTTCTTATTCCTTCTTATTCCTTTCTATTCACCTTCTTATTCCTTCTTATTCCTTTCTACTGACCTTCTTATTCCTTTCTATTGACCTTCTTATTCCTTCTTATTCCTTTCTATTCACATTCTTATTCCTTCTTATTCCTTTCTATTGAGTCTTATTCCTTCTTATTCCGTTTCTATTGACCTTCTTATTCCTTTTTCTATTCCTTTGATTCTTTCTTATTCCTTCTTATTCCTTCTATTGACCTTCTTATTCCTTCTTATTCATTTCTATTGTCCTTCTTATTCCTTCTTATTCATTTCTATTGACCTTCTTATTCCTTCTTATTCCGTTCTATTGACCTTCTTATTCTTCTTATTCCTTTCTATGACCTTCTTATTCCTTCTTATTCCTTTCTATTCACATTCTTATTCCTTCTTATTCCTTTCTATTGACGTTCTTATTCCTTCTTATTCCTTTCTATTGACCTTCTTATTCCTTCTTATTCCTTTCTATTGACCTTCTTATTCCTTCTTATTCCTTATTCTATTGACCTTCTTATTCCTTCTTATTCCGTTCTATTGACCTTCTTATTCCTTCTTATTCCTTTCTATTGACCTTCTTATTCCTTCTTATTCCTTTCTATTCACATTCTTATTCCTTCTTATTCCTTTCTATTGACGTTCTTATTCCTTCTTATTCCTTTCCTATTGACCTTCTTATTCCTTCTTATTCCTTTCTATTGACCTTCTTATTCCTTCTTATTCCTTCTTATTGACCTTCTTATTCCTTCTTATTCTTTTTTTATTCACATTCTTATTCATTTCTATTGACATTCTTATTCCTTCTTATTCCTTTCTATTGACCTTCTTATTCCTTCTTATTCCTTTCTATTCACCTTCTTATTCCTTCTTATTCCTTTCTACTGACCTTCTTATTCCTTTCTATTGACCTTCTTATTCCTTCTTATTCCTTTCTATTGACCTTCTTATTCCTTCTTATTCCGTTCTATTGATCTTCTTATTCCTTCTTATTCCTTTCTATTCACCTTCTTATTCCTTCTTATTCTTTCTATTCACATTCTTATTCCTTCTTATTCCTTTCTATTGACCTTCTTATTCCTTCTTATTCCTTCTTATTGACCTTCTCATGCCTTCTTATTCCTTTCTATTTCCCTGCTTGTCGGGATATGCCCGCAAGAAACATGTCGCTGTAACGCTTTTTTTCTGCCGTGGTAACATTGCACCTTGTCATGGTAACAAAATCGCGTTTTTGTCGTGGTTACGACCCCCTCTCGTCAGAGAGGACTTACCAGCTCAGGTCCACCCCAGTGGACAACTCCTTCTTCCTGCAGATGGACTCCGTGTTTTTTTTTCCTTCCTCCCCCGTTTAGAAGTCGCCATTTAGGGGGAGGGAATGGTGGAGTTTTTCAAGTTAACCCCAAAAAATGGGGGATCCAGGGTATACCGTAGCTACTGTGGATGGACGAAATCCTGCACCCAAGAAACCCTGGATTGGTGATCCCCCTATAAACGCCAATAAAAAACACTAGTTTCCAATGGTTTCAAAGTGGTGCGAACGGATCGGACACTTTCGTTTTTTTTTTTTTTTATTGGCATTTCTAAGGGGGATCACCAATCCAGGGTTTCTTAGGTGCGAACGGATTTCGTCCATCCACATCACTCATCCCAGAAAGCCCCGCAAGCCCACTGCACCTAGGAGCCAAAGGCCCAGAGAAAAAATGTCCCCGGCCCTTCTGGACAGGAGCGGGGCAAAGAGGAGACAATCCTGCGGCTCACCAATGAGTGTCTCGCTTAGGTCCTGGGCTCCTTCCAAAAAACGAGCAGGGACATCTACAGGACTGGAGGGCGCCTGCTTTTTTTTTTTGTTTTCTTCTTTCTTCTTCTTTTGTTTGTTTGCGTGTTTGGAGAACATCCTGTAGAGTTTCCTGTGGCAGGTTTCTATGAATGTTGCAGTCGAGGGTTTTGAACAGATGAGGTCTGTGAGGAAACATCTGAGCCACTGGAATTTGTTTCGGGTGGAAGCAACTCCAATAAACCTGTCCTAGAGCTGGGGGCTCCAGCAGACCTTGGGTGACAGAAAGCAAGCTGCTGCGAACATCAGCGCCGTCCAAATGGCCACCCCCAGATCTGTCCGACTTTTGACTGGCCCAAGAAACGTTGCATTGACCTCCCGGGGGAAAGACGGGGCTCCCTTTGTTTCCGCTTCGGGGTAGCTTTGGGGCTGAGGTTTTTTTTTTTTTTTTTTTTTTTTTTTTTTTTTTTTTTTTTTTTTTTTTTTTTTTTTTTTTTTTTTTTTTAACGCGGGTGAGCCTAGGAACCGCAAGCTGCTGGAGCAGGCGAGGGGGTGGTGGGGTGGGGGGGTGGGCTCCTGTATGGCGACAGAGGGGTTCCTTTTGCAGCTGGCCCTTTTGGATGCTGATTTTTGGGTTTCTGTCTGAGAAATGGAATGGTTGTGTTGGTTTCCATTCAAAGCCACGAAAAAGGGGTTTCCCCCTTTGGGGAAAAAACAACAACAAGAAAAAGAGACACGCCCAGTTGGTGTTTCTTTGAGCCCTGAGGCCAAGCGGATGAGCGAGGGCTACAGGCAGATGGAGGAGGCTGAAAATGAATTCGAGGGTTCGCGTTGAGCAGTCGAATGCAGGAGTTGGACCCTGTTTTGATTCTTCGCATTCCAGGGGAACCCAGGGAGGAATGGGTCTGGTTTGTTGCTGTTTTTGGTTTTCCTCTACACCTTGAGATCCCGAATTTGAGGCGAGGGCTTTGTCTTGCAGTCCTTGGGTGAAGCCCCAAACAGGGCGATCGCTTCGAGTGAGGGTATCAAAAGCCCCAGATTCGGCGTCGCTTGGGCGTCCAGAGACACAAGGGGCGTCCAGAGACACGAGGGTCGCTAGGATTGTTAAGACTAGCGCTCATGGCACTGTGCAAATATGTGGAACTTGCTTTGTTTGGTGGCGTTATTTCTGGGTGGGCCCCAAGAAAGCCCAGGTAACCCGTAGCTTCCGGAACCCTCTCCGAGGGAGCTTGCAGAGACCCCGGTCGGCTGAAGCGGGCAGGCATTGGTTCAGACGCGGAAGGAGATCAAGCGCGCACTTTGGCCGCATGAAAGGATCAAGGGAAGTGAACCAAATCCCGATGCATTTGACAGGTAGAAATGAAAAGAATGGACGGGCCTTTACCTTTGCTTCAAGCTTCGGCTTTGTGGCAATGATGATCAGAGTTCTTTGTGCGTACTTAAACCTTTCTTCCGCGTACTCACAGAAGTATATTTCAACCGTAAAGCGGACACTCATGTTCCATGCGGTTTCACTTCCCTTAGAAGAGAACCGCACATGTGCCTTGGTCAAAGACCCGTTTGGGGTTGGGACGGTCATGGCTACCCTTTGAGGTTTGTTTCAAAACCACAGGGAAGCCACATGATTTTGACAAGCCATCGCGATATGAATCGACTGTGACTCTTTTGGGCACAAGATCAAAGACTCATTTCACATCTCGTCTTACATGCCCAGTGTGAGATGTGATTTTCCCATCGTCTTCTGAGTCTCGTGAGAAGAACACGTAGTCAGTCCAGTTGGTCCAAGGGATGTGGACAGATTCCCGTTCAGAGCGGAGCTTTTCCCGAGGTGAGCCAAGTCAAAGAGCCGAATCCACCCAGGAAGCCCGCAGGCCCATGGAGTCGGTGCCCGGACCCGCGGGGGTGTTCCTCAGGTTCCATGTTCATCTTTCAACTTTGAGGCTGCCATGGGGTGGCGCCCCGAAATGGCACGGATCGCCTTAAGGGCCTCGACCCATGTGGAAGTGCGAGTTGGAAGATGGACATGTGTGGGAGAGGACGGGAGCAAACTCCCCAACATAATGGTCAACTTGGTGCGGCGGCCTTGTGAAAAATGCAGAAAGAGAAGTCTGTGGTAACCTGAAAGGGAAGACATGCCAAGGTTTTTAGGGCAGACCAGAAACGAATCTAGGTTACAGCCCCTTGTAATTACTTCCGAAACCATGGGTTTTGAGGGTTCCTAGATCTTCGGCTCCTTTTTCCGCCAATTTGCACCAGTCCCATATGTATATGTACAATCCCCCTCGGAGTACTCAGGTTGTTGTTCAAAAGCTCACATTCTTGCCATACAAATGCATGCAACATGCACTTTCCGGCTTCCGAACATGATGAACACATACATACGTATCTCTCTCTCTCTCTCTCTATATATATATGTAAAACACATACAAAGGTACTTCCGCCCCAATTCTATACATACATACAAATAATACGGTTCCAGAGCCAGAGCAACCTTGGTGTGTTCAAGGACCCACCCAGTACCTCTGTACCTCTGAGCCAGGCTCTCCCGAGCTGGACGAGGAGGAGCGCATCTACCGGAAGCTCCAGGCCCGGTCGCTTTGCGGGGCCAACCGCTTGGGAATGGCCAAAAAAGGCACACACACACACAAAACACAAAACAACAAACAACAACAAAAAAAAAACTGGCCACAGGTCATGGTGCGGTGTCCTTAACTTTGCTCCAACCCTAAAAACTGCCAGGTCATGACAAGAAAACAGCTCGCGATGGAGCCAGGTGTCTTTTTATTTATTTTTTCTTTTGGATGACTCCTTTTGGTATGGTTAGAACTAAAATGCAACGGGGAACCAGTTGACAACGAGACAATTTGTTTGCGTGTACCTTTGTGGGGTGGAGGAAATGTGAAAAATTCCACCCATTTAGGGCATTTTCTCTAGAGGCACAGCCTAATAAGTAAAACATGCCCATCTTTCTGCTCTCCTTGCTTGAGTGTCGTTGGGTGGAACCTCATAGAAATGACCCTGGCTCAGAGTGAGTCTTTCCTGACGTGCTTTCCTGACGTTCCACTTCCCACTTGACTCCAGGACGAGTCCATGGGTGATCTGATCATGCAAAAGCTGCAGGAGAAGCAGGCGGCTGTCGAAACATGTTTCGGGGTGTGACGAATTTAAGGTGGCTGTGGGTCAAAACCCTGTACCCCTGGTGAACACCAAAATAGGTGGAAATCAAATGGATGTTCATCCACCCCAAAATGGGATCGCCATAGGTTATGCGTTTCCCATGGCCAGATGGTTAAGCAAAGGGTTGGCTTCGAATGACCCCAGCCATTCGCATAATACGTGTTTTCCTCTTCTCCCATACCTTTCCTCATAGCACGACAGGAAATGCATGTGCCAGGTTCAACACGTGCGACATGAGAAGGGCAGCTCAAAGCTACCGCGTTCCAACTTCGCGTAGAGAGGGGGGAGTGACGCAAGATTTTGACGCAGTGGGCTGAGAGGCGCATTTTGTTTGTCAGGAGTGGCAAGGGGGTGGGGGGTGGGCCTTGCCGCAACATGGCCATGGGTCAAAAGCCCGGTTATCCCCCAGTGAACATCCCAATCCAACCACTATAGGTTCTAAAATGGGTGGTGAATCCTACCCACCAACATGGGATCGCTGCCAAAACGGTTCAACGACCCCCACAGCCACATCTCGGGTGCGTGGGCTGGGCCCTGGGCCTTGAGGCGAGGCCCGGGAGAGCCGGGTGCGGCGGTCCGCATTTTGAGGCCGAGCAGAAGCAGAAGATCCAGGCGGCCCTGCAGGCGCGGGGGATTTTTCGGTTTTCATCGGCGCGGGTTCTCTCGATGGTTGATCAGTCGGGGTTCTCCAACCACTGTGATACAATGGAATCCCCCTTCAAATGAACGAAATAGTCTAAATTGGGCATGGGTGTGGGTCAAAATGAAAAACCACCAGGAATCGGACCGCCGGTTTTAGGCCTTGTTTCCATCAGGGTTCCTATTTTTGACCCACAGCCAACAGTTGAAGGGCTGCCGAAGGGAGGAGGCGAGATGGAGCCGCCTCTTCCTTTGGGTGGCAAAACCGATCTCGTCAGCTTCCTTGGGAAGTGGTTCAAAACTACCTGTCACCCTCGAGATTTGGATCTTCCCTGAGAGGTGCTGGGGTCAAGTTTCTACCATGTTGCTTCGGCTCTGAGGGTTGCGCCACCTTGAAACCACCTTGAAAGTCCCTCATCATTTTGGTGCAACTTCGAGGTTTGGGGCAGCCGCTTTGGAAGCAAAAGTCAGGGACGCTGCGGGTTTATTCGCCCCCGGCGGCGAGCAACAAATTTTGCGGGTTCCAGGCCTCCTTGTCCGAAGAGATCGGACGCATCGAGAGCTGGGGCAGCGATGTGGCTTGGTGCGCGAGTCGATTTGGGGGGGGGAACTCGGGAGGTGATGGGGGAAAGGCCCCCAAAAAGGGATGGTATTTGAAGGTAAAGGCAACAAAGGACACCCGAACCTTCCCGCACAACACGCAATGGGTTGGGCACCGGGCTTTCGTCGGGCGGAGTATTCCGCTTTGATTTCTCGCAACAGTCCCTGCCAGCTTCCCTATCGCTGCTACCTTCCCAGATTGGAAAGTACGTGCCATAGGGAGTTGTACGGAACCTGCTTTCCTTTTGGTTTGTTTGTAAACCAAAAGGGTACCGAGCCTGCAAAACGCAATATTTTCAATTGGGTAGGTGAAGGGCTGTCTGCCTTTGGTTCCAAGTGTATCAAGGGGCTATCAACTTTTCAGGCCGCTAATCTAAACCACTGATTTGTTCGCCTCCAATTTCTTCTTCTTGCACAAAGACGGAAACCCAAGAGGAAACTGCACGACAGCATGTCCAGGGCTCGAATTCCGCTTCGACCAGCTGCTTTGACCGCCGACCTTTCTTTTGGGGCTGACGCAGGCGAACCGGTCGGATTCTTCCGCGAGTTCATAGACTCAGCCAGTTGAGAACGGTACATTTGCCCAACCACGTTCCGCCGATATTTCCCAATGTTCTTGAACAACTTTGGACCCTCGAACATCCTTCACGAGTTGGAACTTGCCCCATCTTTCTTCTTCTTCATGTTTCTAATTTTTTTCAGCGCATCTCGTTTTTCAGGGTGAACCTGTGTCACATGGACCTTGGTTCGGTGCACACAGCTTCGGCTTTTACCCCGGAAAACACCTGCCGCGAGGCAGGCTTGGACTCAGACTCCGCGCTTGCTTGCCGAGGTCAAAGGCGTGTTGCTGGCGGTAGATGGCTTGGAGGCCGCGAAGGGAGTGGACAGCCTCAGATGGCGGTCAAACATCGGGCAACGCCAAATGGGCTGCCCTGATAAGCGGAGACCTGGACTCAAATCAGCGGTCTGGTGGTTTCACTTTGACCCATACCCTTGCGTTTTTTTTGGTACCTTTTTTGGTTTGACGAGTAACACACACACACACATACATACATCACCGCACTGAATCTATTTGTCCCACATTGAAATTCAGGTGGGCTCAAAGGGCAACCAGGAAATCACCAGGGCCCCCATATGTTGACCCAAGCCCCATATCTCTGTGGAGAGAGACTCTGCACGATGTATTGTTCTGTGGTACGCGCAATTCGCATTCTTGCTACCTGAACTTGCCCCCTGATTTGTCCATGTTCACGGATCTACCTGGACGCGCAAAAAAAACAAAAACAAAACAAAAACTAGATCATGGCATGTTGCCTCAATGATGTTCTCCCCAGGTCGAGTAGATGGGTTCCCTTTTGGTCTCCCTTCACCGTCCAAAACGGGGGCGTAGGCACGGCGCTTTGCCCGGTGCTCATTTACATCGGAGCCTTTGGTGGGCTTATGTCCATCAACCACTTGTCAACTGTGCAAGGTGGCTATGCCCCCAATTGAACTTTTCATGCCCAGTCAAAGAGACACCACAAAGGTTGGATTTTTTTTTGATTCGGACGCCAATTGCAATCCCGAGATACATTGCGATATTTTTGTTTTGTTTTTCCCGATTCGAGTGACGGGACTCGCCTTTTTTTTTGCCAATTTGAATTGAGCTGCGCGCGTATGTTTTCATGGGCAACCCCCTGCTGATTGTGTCTCAAAAAGCGGGGTGATCTACAAAGCTGGTTTGTTTCCTTTGGTTTTCGCTTGAACATAAGACATTGCAACATCCCTCCAGTAAGTTTAGCAACATCGCGATTGTAAGAACGTGGTTGTTCAACTACATATGGCAACTATTTCTAGTCGACATGGGAAGTTGAGCATGGCGCCATCCCCGGGTCCGGCGGTTGGGATGGGACCCGGGATCGATGGGTCCATGGCGAGCGCTCGAGAGGCACAGCTGAAGCATCAGCTGAAGGAGTGCGCGCCTCGGTGAGGTCTCCGGGTCCCGTGAGTTTTCCCGTGGGGATTTTTTGGGGGGGTGGTGGGGTGGTGGGATGGGGGGGGTGCGGGTTCAGAGGTGAAAACATGGGAGGAGGGGATGGAGGGTCCAAAGAGGGGAGGGGGGAGGATGCCTTCATTCCTTTCTTTGGTTTTTCCGAACATGGCAACGGTTGCCACGCTTACCCACTGTGCCGAAAAGAAGACCATTTTTTGAGAAACACCCACATGAGCAAGTTATTATCAGCTCAAATTTCCCAGAAAGGCCAGAGACCACCCAATTTTCCCCAATATCCTCGTAGGGAAATAACTTTGTTCTGGGACTCATAGCATCTATTTCAGTGGGGGTTTTCAAAAGGAACCCACAGGGAAGCCGAAAACCACCAAGATTTTGGTGTGTGTCAACCTGGGTGACCCCCAAAAATCATAAAGTTGACCCCATATCCCCAGTTCATGAATAGGGGGGTGTTTTCCGGTTTGGTGGGGAATGAGCTTTTGGAGGGGCCAAACACCACCCCCAATTTCATAAACTGGGGTTGATTCATATGGGATCAACCTTCGTGGGCCTTTTTCTGGCGCCTTTTGGCCCGCACCAACTTGGCAGGCCCAAAGCGTCCAAGAAGGCGAAGGCTTCCGATGCCAAGGCGGGGGCTCCTTTTTTTAAATACATACATACATATATATATATATATATTTAATTTATAGACTCCATGTTTGTTGCGGCGGTCGGTTTTTTTGGTTGGTGCGGGTCGAAGGAGGAGAACTTGTCATGTGTTTGTTTTTTGCGGCTCTTTGGGACTTTTGGGACTTGCCTTGGAGGTGAACATTAGTGTTTTTGTTTTTCCTCGGAACTGCGGGAGAAGGGAACTTTGTCTCGCCAGAAAAAAAACAAGCGGGGGAGCCACAAGAAACTTGGGAAGCCAACTGGCCACTAGTCATCCAGGACCCACCACTGGACTGAGCCCACAGTTCGCCGTGTCGGACTTAGGCGAATGAAGGTAAGACCTTCAACACCGACATCACCGTGGTTTCCGTGGGGATCCCTGGCATGTGGCATGGATGTTGGGTCTGGCGTTTTTGGGGATAGTCCCCGTTTTGGAGGGGTTTAAAAGGGACACCAACAGGAGGCCAGCCTTTTTTTTGGCTGGCCCCTTATTCACCACACACGCACGCGCTTTTGGTCCCAAAGTTGAAGGACCCAGTCACTTGGGTCCAGACTCAGGCGGAGATGCTGGACAAGTTTGACAGCATGAAGGGTAACTCGCCGGCAATTCGGTTCCCATTTTGAGCATCACCCCAACACCCGGCCACTTGGGATATCTTGATGAGCAGCGGTCCTGGACCCTTGCGTGGGACATTTGACCATCATTTTCTAAAGGCTTCCTTGTAACGGAAGGACCAAGGAGCTGCGAGTGTAAGGACAGACCTCGAACCTTTGGTTTGATGTTTGTGTGTGTTAAAAAAAACAATTATCAACAAGGCAGATGGTGGCTTTCCTTCTGGTTTTTCGTTTCTCTGTAGACCAGCCTGAAAAGGGTTGCCTCACAAAACAAACAAAAAAAAAAAAAACCAAACAAACAAACAAGCAAGCACGCAAGCAAAGTATGCAAGCAAACAGGCAAGCAGGCAAGCAGGCAAGCAGGCAAGCAGGCAAGCAGGCAAGCAGGCAAGCAGGCAAGCAGGCAAGCAGGCAAGCAGGCAAGCAGGCAAGCAGGCAAGCAGGCAAGCAGGCAAGCAGGCAAACGAGCGAGCAAGCAAGCAAGCAAGCAAGCAGGAAAGCAAGCAAGCAAGTAAGCAAAATCATGCACCCACAAACACACACGCACAAAACACATATATATATATATACACATATATATATATATATTTATACACACTATGATATATATATATATATAGATACATGTACATATATGCACAGACACACAGACACAGACACACACACACAACACATAACCAACACACACACACACGCATACAACACACAGACACGCAACACACACACACACACACTCACCAGGCATACAGACAACACACACCCACAAACAGACAACCACATGCTCACACACGGACATGTCCTTGTGGTGTCCTTTTCTCCGAGGTCCTGTTTTCATTTGTTAGGGCACGCTTCGGTGAAGTGTTTGCACGGCTAAGGTCTGCTGGAAGTTGTGGAGAAGGAGAGTGTCCCACTCGCCCCATCTGAAAACCGATTCCTGGCCAATGTGCCATAGAGCCAAAGAGAGTCGCGGGTTTAGCCATAGCTTTCTTTTGGCGCCTGCGGAAGCGGAGATCCAAACCCCAAGGCCGGCAGAAAAAGATAAACGCCGGGCGGACACCAGTTCCCTGATGGCGGCAGCCCTTTGGTTCCTGAGGCTTTTTCTTTGTTTTCTTTTCTCACCTTTTTGCGGGGCTCCTCAAAAGATCTCCATTTTGCAACCGTTCGAAGAATGTTGCTTTTTCCAGCAAAACAAAGGGTTTCCCACCATGTGCAAGGCAATGTTCAGGAAATGTAAGGATCCCTGTTTTGGTTGTCATCCCTCTTGCAACTTTGGGCGCTCGGACATCGCCTCTTGAGTTTTCCGAGTGAGCGATTTCTCAGGTTTTCCGAGTGAGCTCCGACCGAGCAAAGAAACATTTGGCCATGTGTTTGTATGGGGCTTTCCGCTCTAACGAAGTGTTTTTGCTTTGCCCCCCTTTAAACCCCCCCCTTTTGAAAAAGCCAGTGGCTTTTTCACATCTGTAATTTCTTTTTTGGGGTAGGGGAGAAGGGCGCCGCAACTCTTGGCGAGGCCCAACAACGAAAGTGGGGGCCACTGGGGTCAGTTCCTGGCCCGTGAGGAGCAGCTGTCGCTGGAGCAGACGGTGCAAGCCGCCGCCCCCTGAGACGTGAGCGCATTGGCGCGCGTGGATGCGAGCGCAGGGGTCGGGGGGAACCGGCTGCAGCTCGCCGTGGTTTTTGTTGGTGGGGGAGGGGAGGGCTTCGAATTCTTCGGTGGCCTTTTGTCTTTGTTGGTTGATTTGCTTGGGGCGAGGCGACTTTTGATTTCTTCCCTTGTTCTCCGTTTGTCTCCATGACACGAAGCCCCCCTTTTACGGGAGTGGCACTCCGTTGGGCTGGGTGCCCTGCTTCCGAATTCCGTCGGCCTGGCTCAAACACGGCGCTTGGCTCCATCAGTTAGACCCAAAGGTTGAGTCAGTTGAGTCAAGACATGTTTTTTTTCAGCCAAGAGTCAGGGCGTGAGGTGTGAAGCTCTCACAATGTGACCCAACGCAACAAGTCCGGAGCCTCATTCAGACTCATCAGCAGGCTTTTGCTTTCGAAGAGGTTTGCTCAGACTGGTGGCCACTGCCCATGGCAGTCTCTTCCAGGTATATGGTTCATCCACCGCCGCCCACCCATACAGTGCCAGCAGTGCCTGCGGATCGTGTGTACAGCGTCGTGCCTCAGAACTCTGCCAATCAGCTCGCCGCGCGCGTGCCTTATCGTTTGCCCTCCCAAGGCGGGGGTGGGTGTGGGTGGGTGGGTGGGTGGGTGGGTGGGTGGGTTGGGTGGTTGGGTGGGTGGGTGGGTGGGTGGGTGGGTGGGTGGGTGGGTGGGCACCAGAACAGTTCGTTCCTTCAAAGCAAGCCAACCAAAAGGGGCGCCCCACATAAGGTGCGGGCGACACTTCCGTCTATTTGCGGATTCGGGACGATTTGCAGGAGGACTTCGGAATTTGGCCATGCCCATTTGGGAACCCTTGGATTTTGATCGTGGCTCAAATGGTCAAGTTCAGAGAGAGGGATGGACGGAAGTCAGGGGTCCATGTATTTTCCTTTGGATTTCCTTTGCGTTGTCTAAATATTGCTTCATTTTCCTAATCGGGCTTCCTTTTGGTGCAGTGTTTGCTTGGGTGCCACGGACGTGTTTTCTTAGGCAACCCAGTGGTTCAGTGGGGTCACACCGCCACCTTCAGTGGCCACTGGCCACCGCCAGCCAGGCGCCCCGGGCGCGCCCAGCGCCCCGAGCGCGGGGGCGCGGCGCCGCTTCCAGACGGCGGTGTCGGCGGTGGTGGCGGCCCAAAAGCTGGCGGACCCCCCGCGCCTCGGCGCGGTGGACGCCGTTTGCCGCATTCGAGGGACGCGCGTTTGGTCGTGGCGCGCGTTAGCGTTTGGTCGAGCGGGCGAATACGGCCCCGAACCGAAGAACCGAAGAAAGGCGCTCAGGTGGCCTTAAGAAAAGCGTAAGTACCCCTGTCTGGAGGAGATAAGAAGTGCCGTTTGATTGGATTGCTTTTTGTGGAACCTGAGTGTTCCCCCGTGCAAAACGGACACAACTCAGAAGAGGGAAATTTCGAACAAAAAGAGGAAAATCACGATTTCCAGAAAACCATATGGCCATGGTTCAAAACCAATGGTACCATTTTGGGACAGGTGCACCACCCATTCTAGTCTAGTTTAGTGAGGATTGGGATGTGCACTGGGGTGCTGTGGGTTTTGACCCACAGCCATATACCGCCAACTCGGTTTGATTTCTTAGTTTCCGGGAACAGAAACTCTGGGCCACTCCCCTAGGACGGTGACAGTGGTTCGCACCTGCGGGAATTGGCTGCCGGGCTGCTCGGCGTGAAATTTGGGAGGGCCCGGTTTTTTCGGGGGATGGGTTTGGAGGCACGCGAAAAGGAGACGACCCACCCGTAGGGTCGCCGCTTTTTTTTTTTTTTAAGAGAGAGACAGCTGTTTTGGGGGGGCTCCCGTTTGAGAGGCACGCCTTGCCCGGGTGTCCTGTCCATCCAGCGGCATGTCTGGAATACGTTTTTTGGACGGCTTCTCATTTCGGCCTGCCGAAATCAAGCTTCATACTCCGCTTCGAATAGATGTGTTTGCTCAATCAACCCGCGGACTCAAAACGTTTTCTGCAGTAAGCCCGCCAAGTCTGTCAAAACACAGGTTTGGCGAAGGGGGGGCCTTAGCAAAAATGGGCCCATAATCTTGACAACTCCCCAAGTGTTCCTTTTGGTTCCAACCCCAACAAGGCCCCCCGCCCCCCTCCCCTGCCCCCAACAAGGCCCGGCGTCTTTGGCCGCCGAGGCTGGCTCTGGTTCCACTTCCCCAAGGAGGCTCCCCCCAAAGCGCGGGCGCTGCCAGCTCGGGCTGCTGCGCCGGCCAAGGCGGCCCCCAGGATGCCGCCGTGTGGACGGCCGCTCGTCACAGCGGATTTTGTTCTGCCCATCCCGAGAAAGGGGCGGGTCTGAGGGTGTTTGTATTACACCCTGATATTACACCCTTGGGAAATGACCCAGAATGGTTCAAAATAACACGGTTTTATCCTGGAAATGTGCCTAAATGGGGTCAACACCCAGTGGGTGTATTCCCAGGGTGTAATACAAGCAAGAGCGGGGGTGTTCCCCTCAGTGATGAACCCGGACACCCGAGGTTTGTTAATGGGTTGCATCACCGAAATTTCGCGCTTGCACGCCATCCAAGAAGCCACGCTGCGCAGTCTTGCCACAGACACACGTGCGCGCGGCCTTCACGCCCTCCATGACTCTGTCGTGCACCCACTGTTGCCCCGGCGCGCGTGAAAAACAACGGCAAAAATCAAGATGCCAACGGTTTCAGGCCTGGGCCCCTCTCTTCCACCACTGTGATTTACAGCCCTGCACTCGCACACGTGCTTCGTCCACTACTGCAGTGGTTTCCGCCCTGCGCTTCGCGTTAGCATGCGGCCGCGGATAAGCCGCACGAGAACTCTATGCCAAACTTCCAGCCGACCCGTCCTACGTTCGAACTTGATTTTGCTCTGCCCGCGCGGCATCCAGATACTGCCGTGTGTGTGTGCTGCCTCGAACCTAGTGCCGAACAACGCTTCGAGCCAAAAAAGGCGCGCCGCTGTCGCTTGCGCGCTGCGCCCGTCCAACCCTTTCATTGTCGGAACCACCATTACATGTCCAGTCCGCTCTTGGCCTCCGCATCAGCCACTGCCCCGCAAGCCTGCTACCTTCGTGTCTCCTTCTCAAGTTTGGAGGTAGTTCTAAACGAGAACCAGAGGCAACCCTCCAGGAAATGGCAGGATCCCTGTTTGTGACAAGGGGTCTGTGTCTGTATGTGAGTGTGTGTGCAACTGTATTGGAAGGTTTTTGAACATCACCTTTTTGGAAGGGTCCAATTCGGAGTTAGCATCCTTTTTGCTTGGCGTATATCATGTTTTGGTAGGGGACATAGACTTTCAAGCCATCCAAAAGGGCGGTTCTGGATTTGAGGCATACCCAAAAGGCGGTTTTTTTGGCACCTCGTCCAAGCTGGTGCTTTATTGCTACACATCCCGCAAAAAGCCAAGCACAAACGTCCTAGATGAATGCCGCACCCACGTTGACATATCAGTTCGACCCAGCCCGGCAGCAATTGGGTCTGCGAATCTGCGATATATATATATATATATATATATATATATATAAAGAATCCCCCCCCCCCCCCCCAAATTATCGTGGTTTAACATTTACTTTTGGTTCCCCTTCAAGCTAAGAATTCGGGTACTGAGCCTCAAATCAGGCCAGTTGCTCCACATGTCAGCCGAGGCCGGCGTATCCGATGTTGAAGAGCTTTCCACAGATTGCAGGCTTCGGGTTTTGGGTGCCGCTTGCCTTTTTTTTTTTTTTGTGTGTTTTTTCTCCTTGGGGTCTCTTAGAGTTGTTGGGTGGGTGTTTTTAGCATCGCTTGGCCCAGGGTGAGTCTCTCTTGGTCATGCTTTGAGGTTGGAAGTGCAGGGACCCAGCCCCAAGCCCAATGTGAGGTTTTGCTCCCCAGCTGAAAGCTTTGGGGCCCCAACAAAGGGTCTCCCCAACAAGCGGGTGAAGGGAGCGGAGTGTGGCTTCCAGGGTGCTGGTGCACCGCGTGGCCACCCACTCTGATTTTTGTTTGGACCAAGTCTTCTTCTACGGGTTTTTGTATTACATTATTACACCCTGGGAATAAATGACCCCATTTAGGCACATTTCCGGATAGAACCGTGCTATTTTGAACCATTCTGGGTCATTTCCCAAGGGTGTGATCCCAGGGTGTAATACAAAACCCCCCAGACCTCTTGGACTTGCCGAAAGCTAGATGGCTGTTGGCTAACACCAGCTTGGGACTGGATTTGTCTCAGCAAAGCGCTGGACTCGTTTGCCGCTGATCTCCCTTCGTCTATTTCTGCAGGGCAAAGGGGACACACCCACATAAATTGTTTAAGAGGTCCAGCCCTTCCCACCTGCCGTACACAGATTCGGATGCTCAACCGCGAAAGGCATTTGGGTGGGGAGGCCAAACGGGTGGTTTCCTTTTGGTTTCCCTTTAATGCAACTGTATTTCTGGGGCACCCTTGAAGTTTGCGCGTGTCTCAACACTAGGGTGCTCCTTTATGTTTCCGTTTCACCAAACGAGGGTTCCCCCAAAAAACACGGCACGCCCTAAACCAAAACCTAAACCAACCCTAAGCCTGCCCTAGACAAAAAATCCTAAACGCGCCCAAATCCAAGGTTCCCTTTTTTGGAAAGAAAGCAAATCCCTCGGTTTGGGTGGGTTTAGGGTTGGCTTAGGGTTGGTTTGGGGTTGGTTCAGGATTGGTTTACTTGATTGCTAGTGGGTTGGATCTTTAAACTTTAACTTCTTTGCGAAATCAACCGGGTTTTCCATTTTTCCCCACCTGCCAAGCTCCAGGTTTAGACCGAACCCAAGTTGAAGCCACAAGCCGAACAAAAGACAGCCAAGAGTCGTTTCCTTTCGGAAAGCCGAATCGATAGACCCCCAGAGTTCCGGCAGATCCCTCCGAGATCCGATTTGTCCCAACTCGGGGCCCCGCAGAGGGCTTCGGCGCTACCTGCCCTGCGGTTTTTCAGGATCTTGGGACTGGATCCGGCGGGAGAACGGGCCCGCAGCTTCGCCGCGTTGGGGTTGGGAGGGTGCAGGGGACGGGCAAGGCGGGCCCGTGGAAATTGTTTTTTCCTTTTTTTCCGCGGGAAACCCGCGGGTTTTCCGCCTTCTTCTTCTTCTTCCTGGTGGTTTCCCCTGAAAGAATCCCCATTTTGTTTTTGTCTTCTTTTTTTCCGGTGGTTTCCCTTGAATCAACACCACATAGATGCACGAATCAAAATTTGGAGCATAGGGATGGTTCCCTTGCCATAGGCGGATATCCGCAGGTCCTTCTTTGCATTCTGGAGGCATACTGGAAAACCACCTCTCGGGGTTTGATTCTGACTCAATAGATGACGGGCGACGGCTGACTTCAGAAGTTTGAACTCTGGAGAGATTCTCGAGGTTCGTCGAGGTTCGAAAGGGAGCCATCGAAAGGGACAACCAGCCCGGAATCTAACCACTAATCCAAACCACGTCTTTGGCTTCTAAGGAGCATCGGCAGATTCGCGTGGAAGAGGCCAAGCAATTGATCACTGCACTTCAGAGTCTCGTCCACACACGTCGCGAGCCAAGCGCCAGCATTCTGTGAGTCTCGTGCTGGGATGCTTCGCATTCCCCCCTTTTAATGTTATGCTTGGATGTATCCGGACCTTTTATAAGGAGCGTCAACAGGGTGGTTCCTCTTTGAGTAATTCATTCAGTAGCTGAATTCTGCGCTGCTTGCGCTCCTCATTCTGGAGCTGAGGACAGGTGGTTTCCTTGCCATGACCGGCAACAAGCTGCAGCCTACCTCACATGCAGAGAGTCGCGTCATCTTGCAGGTATGATTTGGTTGGGGTCAGAGTTTGCAGGAACAGTAGCAGCACAGTAGCAATCCTCACTTCGCTCTGATTGAACTAACCAACCTGCTTCCTGCCAAAAAGCAACCTCAAGATAAGCTGCGAAAGCAGCCCAAGCCCAGCCTGAACGAACTAAGCCGCCAGAACCCTGAATCCCTAGAAGAAGAAATACACCCCGAGCTTCACCAGGTATTGCACTCAATGCTGTTTTCTAGCCGTCCATCATCTTAAGTGGGAAAGCCTCCTTCTGTGAGACGCCGAGTGATGCCAGGGTTAGGCCAAAACAAACCACGCCAGCCGAACTTCCAAAAGGGGAACATGTGCTTAGCCCCATTAGCGGTGCGTGAAAAAAAGTTCCTTTGCTCTTCTTCTTTGAAGCCGCTTCAACCAAATCGGGTGCCATCAGAACGCCGCACACACTGCGCACGCGATGTTCTGTGCATTTGTCGAGTGTCGGAAACCAGCCGAGGCAGACATTCCGGTTCAACAGAATCAAAGAGATGCTGCAGCACACCCAAAGGCACGCTGACGGTCTGGCTGCAGGATGTGCAGAAGTTGCAGGTCAGTCTGGTTGAACGTCGATGGATATTGTCCGCTGGTTTCAGTTTGGTTTGTGTTCACTTACTGCCATTGTGTGCCCATCTATTTTCAACCAAGAGGACGCACTCTCGGAGTGTTTCCACTACCCCAAACAGCTGGCAACTCAACCCGCTTGGAGACTTCTGATGTTGACCCAGGATTAATAAGTTTACCTGTCCCAATGTTCGGGGAGCGTTCCCCCCAAAGGTGAAGAATCCCCACTAGAAGGGGACACCCCCCAATCAAAATCAATCAAGGGTTTATTACTCCGAGGTTTTCATTAGAAGGGTGTGTGATTTTTCCGAGGGCGCCCCGTTCAGCTCGGTTTTCCCATATCTTGACACACACCCTCTCCGCAGCCGCGGCTCTGGGCGCTTGCCGTGCGCCAGGCTCAGCATCGCCAAGCGCCTCCCGAGGCTGCCGAGCAACCCGCGGCTCGGGGCGCAAATTGCTGTGGTTGTCAAAATGAGGGTGGGGGGGCGGCGGGGGGCCGGGGGTGGGGGGGGTGGGGTGTTGCCATGCCATTGCCCCATGGCTGTGGTGGTCAAAACCGTTTTGGTATCCATTTTGGTTGGTGGGTGAATTCACCACCCATTTTAGAACCTATTTGAGTGGTTGGATTGAATCGGATGTTCACTGGGGGTACGGAATTTTGGATTTTGATGGGCCACTTGCTCAACACCCGGGTAGATGGAAGCTAGTAAGGGAAGGTCCCAACCACACATGGGTGCAGCTGCCTCTTTAATTCTTTGCATGGTCTTGGGTAGCCATCTTGATACCAGGTTTTGAGAATGATGACTCAAAATAGCCTCGAAGCCTCGACCAGTACCACTATTGGCCATTCGGGTGGTAGCACCTCCCTGGTTCCGCGCTGGCAACAGACACCTTGGTTCCGCGAAGAGCGAGGCCAGCGAGGCCTTCGTCTATTCAGAGGTTGCCGAAACGCCGCATCCGACTCCTGCCGGCTTGGCCATTTGGGTGGTAGAACCTACCTGGTTCGGGTAAGAGACACCATACATCGCCGGTGGGTTTTAGCTTTTGGTTCCACGCCGCTGCCGCGGGAAGCCCAGCCTCGCTTCCCGCCGCTTTCGAGGCGCCGGACGTGCCGCTGCGACTTTGCGCAGGGCACGGCGGTCGCGGTGGCCGTGGCCAGCGCGCGGCAGGGCAAGAAGGCCATGGGGTTTTTGAAGCGGCGGATGTGCGGACGGAGGTGCATCTGAAAGCGGACGGATGGGTGTGGGTCACAAATAATAGGTACCCCAAATGGAAACAAGGACTAAAACCTGCGGTCCCCTGGTGGTGTATTTTTGACCCATGGGCAGATCACCCCGGCTGGGGGTTTCCGTGTTGAACCACTGCTTTGAGAAACACACACGCGGGAACAAGCCACTTCTCCACATTTCCTGCCGTGAGTCAGGTGGCGGTGGTGAACGCTGCTTCTGCGTACCATGCGGGCGGCGGTTTTAGCTCTGGAGGGCGTCATGCGATGGAGGACCAGCGCGATGGATGGGTATGTGGCTGGTCAAAAGCAGGTGTCCTGAACCCTGGTAAATGTGATGGACTAAATCCTGCGGTTCAATTTTGACGCACCAGGTGAACAAAATTGGCCGGAACCCCTCATGGCTTCGGTTTCCCTTTGGTTTGGTTTCCCTTTAAGGAACCCGAATGTGTTTTAATGGATACCCAAGACATGAACCCCAAGTCCCGGCTTGGAAGAAAAGGGCGTGAGAGAAATTGACGAGGTGAGATCCCATGGGTGGGACATGGGTTGGTTTGGGGTCCCGGAAACCGTGACGTTTCAGGGAACCAAAGTCAAGTGATGAATGTCAGGGTCGTTGGATGGGAGTCAACCACTAGAAGGACCGAGAAAGGATGCACCTGGAACAAAAGCTGCCCTTGAGAAAGTGGTTGAACGCTGCCTCATATCCCATTGTTGGGGGGGACCACATGCAAAAAGATTGTTTTTTTTTTTTTTTTAAGGATCTATCCCAATCCCCACTAAAATTGACCAAAATGGGTGGTGCACCTACCAACCAAAATGGTACCATTGGTTTTGAGCCACAGCCAAATTGGATCCAGCCAAAACGTGGCAAGGAGGCTCTGTGTTCCCAGACCTCGGTGTACCTGTCGCTGCAGAAGGCGGCAGCGGGGGCCCATGGCCAAATGCCGCCGGGCTCAAGAATCCCCCCCTTCCCCTTCCCCCCCCACCGGCCAGGGGGGGAAAAGGGGGGGGGGGGGTGGCTGGCAAAAGGGCCGCCCCGTTTTTATTTTATGTTTTTAAGCCGGTCATGATATGTATAGTCATAATTGCCCAATGCGCTGATTGCACTCCGTGTGGTTTTGGCTCAAGAAAAGGGTGCGCTCCGCAGTGCACCCCAGAGCCGAGATATTGCATTTTGATGGTAGCGGGTGAGCCTCGACGGTCCATTTGGTTTGGAAAGCCGTACGAGGGGCCCAAGGGCAAGAACAAGGGCAAGAAGGGCAAGAGCAAGGGCAAGAAGGGCAGGGGCAAGAGCAACAAGGAGGAGCCGCCGTGGAGGCGGCCCGCTCGCGGCAAAGGCAAAGCCGCAGAGCCGGTCGAGGAGACCGGGGCAGCGGAAGAGCTGCCGAAGGAGAGGCCGGAGCTAGTTGCCCCTCCGAGTGAAGGAGAAGAAGACACCCTGTCCGCTGAGCCTGCCGCTGAGTCAGAAGCAGACTGGGGAGGATCCCAGGCTGCATCTCCTCCCTCCTCAGAGCCAGAGGCTCTGCCAAGTGGCCACAGGGGCCCAGAACCGGCTCGAGGAAGCCGGGCAGAGGAGAAGGAGGAGGAGCTGGAACAATACACCAACGAGGACAAGAAGGAGGACCTCCACCCGCCGCAGAAGAAGCAGTTTGAGCCCGAGGCCACGGACTTCGACCTGGAGCAGAAGGGCCAGAGCGAGGACGAGAGCGTGTGGGGCGATTGGGGCAGCGAGGGCAGGATCCAGCCCGAGCCCAAGGTCGCTCACACGCCTAGGTCGTCAGGATCTCGGTGGTGGCAGAGTGCGACTGGCAAAGACAAGAGGAGAAGCCAAAACAGTCGGCACTTTAGGATCCTCAAAGGCCTCCTGAAGCTCGCGCAGAAGAAGCAGGAAGAGCCATCCGCGGAGCTCCAGGAGGAGATCGAGAACTTCGGGCAGGCGCCCTGGAAGAGGCGCCGGGTGCAGCCCAAGACACCACCGAAGTCCCCGCCTAAGTCCAGCCCTGCTCCGAAGACACCGCCGAAGGGATTCACAAAGGCCCAAGGAAAGGAGCCTTCACCGGGCGCTGAGCCCGAGCTGCTGGCACCGGTCGCCGAGGCAGCCAAAGCTCTCGGCCGACGGGTTACGGTGCACAGGAACATACAAGAGCTTGCGGTGGCAAGGACATCCCGCGGTGAAGGGACGAGCGAGCAGAACCTGGCCTCGAACTACCGCCTCAGGAAGGCGGCATCGGCAGAAGCTGCATACCGAGCCGGAGCAACGGGCTCGGTGGCCAAAGCCATCCAGCAGAGTGTGCTGCAACTGGACGGGTTAGGGAACCCGTGTTCCTCGTGCGACGAGAGGACTCGCCTTCAGAGGCCATCGTTGTTGGCCAGGGCCGCAGCAATTGCAAAAGGGGCGGCAAGGAGGCGCGCACCGGTAGGAACGACCTCAAAGTCAGTACCGGAGGCTATCGCGAAGCCTCAGGTGAAGCCACCTCCTGCAAAAGCGGCTATAGAGGCGAAGGTACCACCTCCATCGCCAAGACCGAAGTGGGTGCTCAAGGAGAAGGCCCACATCGAGAAGCCCAAGAGCGAGCCGAAGGTTTCGCTGGCTCGGCCGAAGCGGCCGCCACCTCCGCCACCGATTCCGTCGCCGACTACACCCCTGAGCGAGACCGAGGGCAGTGTGCACCTTTACGATCAACCGGCGCCGGAGCCGGAGAGCGCTCCGAAAAGCGGATCGAGCTCGGGGTCGTACTATAGTACAGAAGAGTCCGGGAAGGCGGACTGACCTCCCGGTGCTTGGCACCGGATATAAGGCATGGAGGAAACAGTGCGAGAGTTGCAGCAGGCAGTTGAGCGGTTGTCACAGGAGAATCAACTTCTTAGGCAAGGCCAGGCAGGTATAGCTGCTTTGGCAGAGAACCTTGGTAGGTTAGCTACAAGCCTGCAGAAAGGCGATAGGAAGTTGTTGATAGACACCAAAGGGATTGGAAAACCGGAAGTCTTTTCCAATGATGACGGCCACTTCCGTAGATGGGCCCGGTCTGTGGTGAACCTCACAACGGCAATCTTTGGATCCAGTTTCCAGTCAATCCTTGAATGGGTAGTTGATCAGGATGAGGAGATCACTGTTGAAAAGGTAGAAGAGGAACATGGAGGTGAACTGGGAATGGCCGGACTGGATGATAAGGGAGACCAGCTGTATAGGTTGTTGTCATCCCTTACTACTCATGAGTCCGAAGATCTGGTCATCAATGCCAAGAACGGGTATGAGGCATGGCGAAGGCTTAACAGGAGATGGGACCCCCTCACCGCAGGTAGGAAGAGGAACATCCTAAGGGCCATCCTCAACCCCGAAAGAGTTAAGTCTTGGGAAGCAGTTCGACCGGCCATGGAACAACTAGATGATTTGATGCGCCGATATGAGGCCAGAAGGAACGAAAGGGGCGAGAGGGAAATCCTCTCTCAGGACATAAAGTGTACGTCCCTAGAACTTCTGGTTCCAACCGACATTGAGCGCCACCTCATTCTGAACAAGAACCGGCTGGGAACCTACGAGGAAATGAAGCAGGAGATTGAGGTTCTGATTGAAACAGTCACGGGAGCAAAAGGGACGGTCCATCGACCGGGGTCCAGTGGGGCTTCGGGATCGGGGCGAGGCCCCGCTCCGATGGACGTGGACGCCATCACGAAGGTGCTCAACTCGCTGGTCAAAGGCTCGAAAGGTTCGAAAGGAGGCAAAGGTAAGGGAAAGGACAAAGGTGGAGGCAAAGGCAAAGGAAAAGGTAAGGACAGCAAAGGAAAAGGTAAAGGCAGTGGTTCAGGCAGCTCAGGACCCGCAGGAGCATGCTTCAACTGTGGTAAGCCCGGCCATAGAGCGGCCGAGTGTTGGAGCAAGAAGAAGGATGGAAAAGGTTCCAAAGGCTCAGGGAAGTCTGGCTCCAAGCAGAAGCATGTGGCAGGATTCGAGGACGCCGACTACGAAGCTGGAGACCAAGAAGAACAACCGGAGGCCGAAGTGGGAATGTTTGAGCTGGGTGCATTCACCCAGGGAGAGTCCCCGAAAGACCCAAACTGGGTTCGGTTCAACCTTGATACGGGGGCTGCTCAAACTGCTATTCCAGTGGATTGGAAAGACCGCATCCCCACTAAGGAAGGAGCCCAGATGATGTTCAAGACAGCATCGGGGGAACTGGTCCCTGGGACCGGAACCGGGACGTTTCAAGGTAAGAGTGAAACAGGTTCCAGGTGTAAAGTCACAGGGCCATTAGCACCGGTACACAAACCGTTGGTTTCAGCTTACAAATGCCTCAACCATGGAAGGATGGCTGTTCTTGATCAAAATGGTGGACAGTTGATTCCAGCAGACTCAGCGACAGGAAGGAAAATTCAGCAGTTGCTCAACAAGCCCAGTAAAGCCCAAAAGAAGACTTGGTTGCCCATATACCAAGAGAAAGGAGTTTACAACTTCTATTTGAAGTCGGAAGATTGTTCGGGTTTTGGACGGCAGTCCAGCGAGGCGTAAGTCCGGCCAAACCACTTGCAGCGGCAGATGATGCCGTGGGTGCCGGACAAGGGAACCCAGAGGCACCAGCGGGCCGACCCGCAGGTGTGCCCGAGGGTGATGAGATGGATGAGAGCGGCGAGATCGCGCCGCCCGCACTGGTGAGAGCACCAGGAGGCCCATCGAGGGCCGAGGTTGCGGAGCATGAGGCAACAGGTCACGTGCAGTATCGCAACTGGTGTCGGCATTGTCTTGCCGGCAGAGGATTGGGTCAGCAGCATCGCTCACGACCCGAAGAGGACAAGGCGAGCGATGAGCTCGCGACAATCTCGTGCGACTACACATGGATGACGCGAGATGGAAAGGAGGATGGGAAGACTAAGCCTATCCTGGTGATCCGAGACAGTCGGACACTGGCCGTTGCGGCCACCTTCGTGGACGCAAAAGGACCGACGCCATATGCGGTCAAATTCATGGCGAACTTTATAAAGCATCTTGGTTACCGTCGTGCAGTCTTCAAGAGTGATGGTGAGCATTCGATCGTTGCCCTGAAGGAGCAGGCGGCCAAGGAAGCAGGAGTGGAGAATGTTCCACAGGAGTCGCCGGTGGCTGACCACCGGGCGAATGGCGCAATCGAGAACTTGTGCCGAGAACTCAAAAGGCAGGTGAGAGTCCTGCGATCCTCACTGGAGGAGAAGTTGGGTCGAGTCTTGAAGGATGACGACCCTGTGCTGTCTTGGTTTCCAAGGCATGCAGCAGACCTGATGTGCAGGTACAAGAGAGGTTCCGACGGGAAGACACCGGAACAAAGGAGGTGTGGCCGAGAATGGAGAAAGCCGGCAATCGCCATAGGAGAGCGGTTGTATTACCGTGAGGTAGGAGAAGGAGCTAGGCCACTCAAGGAAGGCAGGTACATAGGTCACCACGGAAGGACTGGCACTTTGCTGGTTGTGACCTCAGAAGGAGTGAAGAGAGGCACTGGTGTTCGTCGACTTCCAGAAGAAGATCAATGGAATCCACAAGGATGGGAAAGCCTTAAAGGCTACCCGTGGGAGGTCTCAGTGCGAGCGCCGGGAACGCCGGGGCAGAGGGCCCCGGGAACTCCTGCTCAAGGAGTGGAGGACCTGCTGGTCAGTGAAGACCGGGTTGAGGTTCCGCCTCAGGTTGTGCCTGTTATGGCACCGCCACAGCAGCGACGGATTTACATCCGTAAGGCAGATGTGGAGAAGTACCAACCTACTGATGGATGTCCTGGATGCACTTGCGTGCTACTAGGGGAATCCACTCAGTTGCCGCACACTGAGATGTGCCGAGCGAGAATCGTCGGTCTCATGATGGATGATGAGCAAGGACGACGCCGTGTCGAAGCTCACAAAAGGAAAAGAGAGGAGACCGCGGAAGTAGGAGTGGAAGCAGATCTCCCAGCCCAAGAGGCCATGGGAGAGCCGGCCGCTGAGGCCGGAGTAGGATCTAGGCAAGACCCTGGACAAGTGATGGAGTATGTGGAGGATCCCGCGAAGAGGGCTGAACTCAAGAGAGCAGCAGCAGACCCGCCAGCATCGAGTAGCCCAAAGAGCAAGGCGAAGCCGACCACGCAGATCAAGAGACCGGGAGCGCTGTATATAGCGCCCGGAGCCAAGCAGAAGACGCAGCAGAAGCAAGGTGAGAAGCGAGAGCCCGCAGTATCTCCTGAAGAACTCCGAACGGAGACTCAACCGGCGGCTGACGCCGAGACTTCAAACACCCCGGACAAGCCCCCAGACGTGGGCGGACTTGAACTGGGTCGATTGAAGAGGATGTTGAAGTCCATGGTTGGACGGAAAGTAGAGAGAGCGTTTTTGGCTCAGGAGGTGGAGATCAACGCGGTCGAGCTGGAGCAGATCACCAAGCTGTGCGTGGAGATGGGCGCTGTTGATATCATGGAGATCTACAGCCCGAAGCGGTTCACGGCCCAAGCCGGGCAGTATGGCTTGAGGCCGGGCTTTGCGGTAGACCTTGAGGAGCAGAAACCGGACGGTTCCTACTGGGATCTCAGCAAGACTGAGGACGTCCGAGAGCTCGAGGAGTATGTGGACGAGGTCGAGCCGACATTGCTCACAGGGAGCCCACCTTGTGACCAATTCTCCCAGCTCCAGAACATCAACAAGTACAGGGTGAGCCCAGACAAGAGGCGCGAGAAGATGGATAGAGCAGTTGCTCATTTGCATACCGCCTGTAGGTTCTACAGGAAGCAGTTGCAGGCAGGTAGGTTCTTCTTGCATGAGGCACCGTGGAGTGCTACCTCTTGGAAAGACCCGGAGGTCCGTGAGCTCACTGAGAGACCGGACGTGTACACTGTCCGAGGCCCAATGTGCAGATGGGCTATGGTCGCTACGGACCGGAGGGGTTTGCAGGGCACAGGATATGTGCGGAAAGAAACTGGCTGGATGACCAACCATCCAGGTTTGGCCCAACTGTTGGAGGGCGAATGCACCAACAATGTGCCGGGGAAACCATGGCACCGGCACATCCACCTGATCGGAGGACTCGCTAGACCGGCGGCCCGTTATCCGCCAGCGCTAGTGCGAGCGGTCCTGAAGACTTTGAAGAGCCACCTTGTAGAGAGTGGCCAGTTGAGTGCATTGGACGCAGCAGTTGCAGGTCCAATCCCAGAGGAGAGCTTCGTGACGCCGGAAGACGTGGAGCAGTACTGGGACGACGTGAATGGTGGGTTTTTGCCACCAGACCGAGTCAGGGAGGCACGTCAGCTCGAGTTGGACTATCTTAGGAAGCAAGAGGTTTACGAGAAGGTGCCGCTCGAGGAATGCCTCAGAGAGACCAACGGGAAGGGTCCAATCACCACCCGTTGGATAGACACCAACAAGGGAGACCCCGCCAATCCCAACTTCAGGTCGAGATTGGTGGTCCGGGAGATCAAGGCCCGGAAGAGTCCAGAGGAAAGGATTCCTCAGAACATGCTGTTTTCGTCAACACCGCCTTTAGAGGCTATGAGGCTGCTATGTAGCCTATGGGCCACTGAGCGTGTATCCCATGGAGGACGACCGCTCAAGATCGGACTTTGGGATATATCAAGAGCCCACTTCTATGGCGTACCCAAACGCCGCATATACATCCAGTTGCCAGACGAGGACGCCAGTCCGGGAATAGTGGGTCGTTTGACTAAGTCGATGTACGGGACACAGGATGCCCCGAACATATGGCAGCAGCACTACACGCAGCTGTTGATCAAAGCCGGATATCTCCGGGGAAAGTCAAATGGCTCAGTGTTCTATCACCCGACACTGGGAGTAAGAGTGCTGGTGCACGGAGATGATTTCATGGCGTTAGGAGACGCCGAGGCGCTGAAGGAAGTAGATGCTTTGCTTCGCAGTGCCTACGAGTTGAAATGGCTCGGGACGGTAGGTGATGAGGAAGGAGACCACAAGGAGGTCCATTTCCTCAACCGGCTCATTCGTTGTGAACAACATCAAGGAGCGAGTGCGATCCTGATCGAGCCAGATCGACGCCATGTTGATTTGCTTGTGCAGCAGCTTGGCATGGAGAATGCCAAGGGAGCGGAGACACCGGACGTGAAGAAGTCCGTTGAGTTGCAGATGCAGGAAGCCCGGAGCCCAGCTCTACCGAAAGAGCAGGCTTCCCTGTATCGCTCATGCGTGATGAGGGCAGCGTACCTGTCACAGGACAGGTTAGATATCAGCCACGCTGTGAAGAATCTTGCGAGGAAGATGGTTTCTCCTACAGAGGCATCTTTGCAGGATTTGAAGCGACTGTGTCGCTACCTCATCAAGAAGCCGGACGTGTGTCAGGTCTTTGCACGGCAAGCCAAGCCGAGCAAGCTCCGAATCCAGGTGGATTCCGATCATGCCGGAGACGCAATAACGAGGAGATCCACAACAGGCATGGTTGCTCTGTATGGGTTGCATGTGCTCAAGCACAGCAGCAATGTGCAGTCGACCATCGCTTTGTCGACTGGGGAGTCGGAGTATTATGCTCTTGTCAAAGGAGGTTCAGTTGGTCTAGGCCTACAGTCACTCTTGGAGGACTTTGCGGTCGAGACCCAGGTGCTGATTCAATCAGATGCGACTGCAGCAAAAGGAACTGTCAATCGGGCAGGTCTGGGAAAGGCCCGTCACATCCAGACGAGGTTCCTGTGGTTGCAGGAAAGGGTCAGCATGGACCATCTGAGGGTGGAGCATACCCCTGGCAAGTCCAACAGGGCGGATGCTCTAACAAAGAGCATTCCAGGTGTACAGATGTCTGAGACCATGCGAAGGTGTGGTTATGTTTTCCTTAACCAGCGTAGCAAGGGACAGCTTAAGCTACTAGAAGGCTAAGGTCCCTGGCCAGACTCCGCTACCTATATTGCTGTGCGAGCGTGTACAGAGACGCTCTTCCAGCAAGGAGGAGTCATGATATGTATAGTCATAATTGCCCAATGCGCTGATTGCACTCCGTGTGGTTTTGGCTCAAGAAAAGGGTGCGCTCCGCAGTGCACCCCAGAGCCGAGATATTGCATTTTGAGCCGGGGACCGGGGCCCCAGAAATGGAGGACGGGCGGGGCCTCAGTGGCTTGCGCCTGTGCACGCGCCTCTCCAGAGTGGGCGTTCAGAGTCGTTCAGAGAAGAGGAAACCTGCCAAACGGAACAGCCGTTGCCACTTGGGCAGCAGTTCTGATGGGGAATGTCTTGACATACATCTCCATGCTTTGCTGATGCCCACCATAAAATTCCCAACTAGAATTCATACCTGGGCTCAAACTACTCTTGGACATGACATGTTGTTGTGCTACTTGAGCGTGTCTTCTTTTAGGGAACCCTCAAAGTTGTGGTATTCTTGTGGTTTCCCTTTAAAGCCACAACAAAAACTATCCTCAAAAATAGAGAAAACCATTCAGGCATTGTAGGCTGATTTTGCATGGCCAAGGTCGTTTCTCGAAATCGAGGAAAAACACCGTTGGCTGGCTTCCCTTTGGTTTCCCTCCAACCGGATCCAAACTGAGGACCAATTTGAACATGTCCTTACAGAATACCTGGTAGCTCTCGAACAAAGGCTCCGATTCGGATACCCCCAGCTTCGAGTTCGGCTCCATTCCAACCACCAGCGAGTTCAGCAGGGAATGAGTTGGAAGGATCTCGGAAAAGAAGAAGAAAAAAACCATCCTCGGTGGTTTCCTGCAAGGGAATCCACCCAAAACCGGTTCATTCAACCAACACCCTGACTCGTTGTCATTCCCTACCTTTCGCACCAGCTTTGAGAAGCTTGGACGATCACAAGCCGGTCTTAACTTTAGCGCATTTTGCTTGGATGTTCGGACTTTATACCTTTTTGCCAACATGGGTTTTCCGTATTAAACCACTAAAAGCTAAACTTTTTACGGGGGAGCAGAAAGCAACCGAGTTGGCTGAGGTATGTGCCGGAGGATGGCTGCATCATCAGCCCCAGAGCTCCTCGGACGCGGTCCCGCACTATCTTTCTCGGCCGCGGGGGACGCAGAGTCCAAGAGCTGAGGTTTTGCAAACGCCTGGCTCAAGAACACACGCACACACACACACACAAAAGCCCTGCCGTGTGCGTTGTTTTTTCCTCCCCGATGTACCAGCCCAGTTATGTGCTTGTTTTTTTCTCCTGATGTACCCCTTTTTATGGATTTGAAGAAAACCCAAGGGGACAACCCAGCCATTCCCCCCCCCCCCCCCAAAAAAAAAAACAAAAAACACAAAACAGAGGACAATTAACGACCCGCGCGTCTCATCCGCTTTCGCTCGCGGGTTTTATCGGTTGAGCGGACGCGCGCGCGAGGTGGAGGTCTTGCGCCAGGGAAGCGCGGAGGGCTACCAGCTGCTGGGCTGCGTGCTGGAGCTGGCGGCTGTGATCTCCGTGGCGCCTGGGAAAAGAAAGACAAGTTGGGATTCCGGGGCCGGCTTTTGGCTTTCCCCTTCACCCCCAAAAACAAAAAACACCTGGCATCCCCTTTTTTGGAAGGTTTTTGGAATGTGTTGGGGAAAACAGAAGCTTTGGGGTCTCAGCCCAGATAGGCTCCGGGGTGGTCCGGGCGGCCCTGAGGTAAGGTTCCACGAGGGTTCCACGAGGGTTCCACGAGGGTTCCACCACGGTTCCACAAGGTTCTGCGAGGGCTGCGGAGCACCGCATGCTGTTGTGGATATCACCTAGCTTATTTTTGTCATTTTTTCCTCCGGTTTTCCACTTTTTTTAGAAGACTGTTCCACTTTTTGGAAGGGGAGGTACACCTTGATTTGTTTGCAGGTTGGAGGCTTAGAGTCTATGTTGCCAGGAAGGAAAAGGGGGGTGCTTTCCGGGCGGGGAACGGGATACCGTTTTTTTGGTTTGGGGGAGGGGGGTGTGAAGGGATTAGGGTATGCCATGGACACTTCGAGTTTACGTTGCGTCCACATGTTTGTTTCTGTGGGGAGGGGATACCTTGATATTTTGTTTTTTGGGGTGAAGGGATTTGTTGTGTGTATGTATGTATGTGTGTGTGTGTGCTGAGTCCCAGATTTACCCTGGGACCACCTTTCAGTTCATGCAAGGGACTGTCCATTTGCTGTGTGCGATGGTCCAACGAAGCGGCCACAGCAAATGCGGATACCGAGGCTGATCAGCTCGACGTGCCTGCACAACATCGTTCTATCAACAGAGCCGTTTTGTGTTGCCCGCCGTTGCTTTACAAGGACCAATGGCTCGATCGGTGATGCGTTCATTGTTGACTTTATAGTCTGAAGCCAACTCGAAATGAAGCAGTCGAACTTGTCTCTCCTCTCCTCTCTTGCATGACGTGCACGAATGTACCAAACCACCCCTTGGGGTATTGAAGTATGTTATCCCGAAAGGGAGATCCTCAAGTGCACCTTTCTCGGGAAAGCTTTGCGGAGTTCAGGAACCTCAGGTGTTTCACCGTGGCAACGAAGCCGGGAGATTTGAATCAAAGCCGCCGGAACAGAAGAAGGTCAGACTCCAAACCAGATCAGTGGGGGAACCCTAAATAAATTCCTCTTCAATGCGTTGGGTTTGGTGAAGCCTCATTTGAGTGTGTTTTTCTTGGGGGCAACCAATCCAGCTTGGTTTGAGGGTGACCAACCGGAGCAAACGACCATTTTGATACATACCAATTTGGCCAACGTTGTCCTGCTTCATTTCCTGAATTTCGGGGCTTAGGTCTCATATTTCAGCCTTGTCTGGGGAAGTCCTTGACCCATGGGTTTTGGCGGTCTTCGCAGGTTTGATTCCTTGGGATGTTTTTGTGAAAACTGGGACCTCCGGGCTTCAGGTAAGCCCTCATTGGTGGTTTGGACCTGAATCTTGGGGAGGGCAAATGTGAGTCCAGCCCCTAACCACCAAATCATCGATCCAAACCACAAATTGGAGGGAAGCTGAGGCTTTGAGTGCTCAGATCCCGCGCTTCGGCGGAGAATAGCAAGCAGCACAGCACTTGAGAAGCAAGAGAACGAGAAAGAGAGAGAGAGTCAGAGAGAGAGGAGCAAAAGAAAAAATGGACGGCACCGTGATACGGGCATGTGGCAAAATGGCCTCCCCAAACCTGCAAATTAAAACACCAGGAAATGGACCGCAGGTTTTAGTTTCTTGGTTCTATTTACTAGGGTTCCAAAATGGATGCCCATTTTTTATCCACAGCCATGTCCCGTCCAGGCCATGTTCAACCGCAACCCGCGGGTGCGCGACAGCCCTGTAGATGCTCCGGAGGATCCGGCCGCTGCTTGGCCGTGGATGCCAGGGAAACCCCCCTTTGATCCATTTTCCATTCGTTTTTGTTGTCGTCCTTTTTTTTGGTGTGTGTGTGTGTGTTTGTTTTTTCCTGTATATATATATATATATATGTATATACATATGAAAGCTCTTGGTTACCAAAAAGGGACCTCCGAAATGCGGTCGCGCTTTCCGGGAGGCAATTGGCGAAGTTGAGAATGGAACCAGACACTGACAGATCTGATGCCAACTTCAAGAGTCAGATCCGCCTCAAGAATGGTTGGGATGCATGGACGGTTTTTGCCAGAAGACAATCGACCAAACCCGTTGGACGGGTTGGACAAAAACATCTAAGTTTCCACCAAAGGGCCAACCCTCATGCCAATGTTCTGGAATCAGCCACCTGTGCGTGCGTGGATTCGGACCCCCTTTTTGGTAAGGGACACCAACAAAACGCCCGAAAAGCCAAGCACTGCAGCAATTTCGGACCCCGAGAAGCGTCCGAGGCCTACGCGTCCGGCGTGCGGAAGAAGTTCCTGGCCGTGTTCCATGCCGCGGCCCTCTGCGGCGCGGAAGTGACGCCTTGCTTTGGTGCCGGGGGGTTGGGGTGGGTGGTTTTTGGTTGCCTGCTTGTTAGGGGTAAGGCGGGTGGCTTCCTAAATCCGAGGAGTTGGATTTCCGTTTTTTGTTGTTGTTGTTGTTGCCTTCCTTTCCAAGAAAATCCGAAATCCCGCTTGATTTTTCCGGTCTGCTTTCCAATCTTTGGCCTCCAAAAATCCCCAGCCCCTGGGCGCCAAAGAGGGCACTCCGAGCGCCCTTGCTGTGGGTCAAAGAGTCAAAACCGTTTTGGTACCGTTTCGGGGTAGGTGCACCACCCATTTTAGAACCTATCCTAGTGGGGATTGGGATGTTCACTGGGGGTGCGATTTGGATGACCCATGGCCATGTCGCGCAATCCGAGGATTGTCCTACCGGACGTGGGCTGCAGCGTCTTCCAAAACGACCCCGCCGCAGTGGGGCGGATCGCGGGCCAGGCCCTGCAGGAGCTCGGAGCTCTGAGAAGTGGGACGGAGGGACGAGGTGGGGTGGGGTGGGGTGGGTGGCGTGGGGGGTGGAGCGCTCGTGGCTGGAGTACGGGCGCAGCAAACCACCTGGATCGATCCACTTGCGTTTTCGCTTTGTTCCATCCACTTTGCGATCCAAAACCAGCAACAGTGACTGCAAAACAGCGGCAACTTGGCTATCTAGGCATTTTTTCCCCTCCACATGAGCTGCCAGGACTTTGGAAGACTTGGTTGTATTTGCAGGATCGGCCTTCTGCAAGCTTCCATGTTGGTCTGGGGCCTGTACCAGACACCAGAGCTGCCGTTCTTGCCGGCATTTTTTTTTGCCAGGAGTACCAGAGCTATTTCTCCCAGGTCATCTTCACTGGCTCGCACAGCTTTTTCCAGGCCCTTCCGTGTCGGTGTGTCGGACACGAGCGAGAAGATCCATGGGATCCAAGGAGCCACCAGGATTCGGATCGCCGGCGGGTTTGTTCGGGGGTTCTGTGCCCTGTCTGCTTTTTGCAGTCACTGTTGCTGGTTTTTGGATGGTAAAGTGGACGGAAAAAAGCGATCGCCACTGGCGATCCAGGACCCTGTATTTTTGCCAAGGGGGAAGAAGGTCACAGAAAGAGTATCGCCGCGTGGCATTTGGACGGTTGGAATGCTGGACTTGATTGCAGGCTGCTGCGGAATCCCATCAGCGTTGATTTGTGCATAGCTGGGGTGCCTTGGCAACCCAGGCATCTTTAAATGCGACCTGGAAGCTGGCATTTGGAGCTTGACACAAGCGCTTGCTTGTTGATTGGCCCAGTTTTCGGTACGTAGAGCCGTGTTTTTTAGACTACCTTGTTGAAAGCAACCCAAGACATGCCCTTAGAAGTGTAGTGAGATCTGTCAAGGCATGCCCTTGGTATGTCAAACCAGTAGCTGCCGAAAGTTACCCGTTGCAGGAGGGGCAGTCGCCCCTTTTTTGGCCCAGTGCGCAGCTTCCATGGCTGAACTAAATTACATCCGGGGCACCGGAGCACGAGCAAAGAGGCTCCAGTAGGATGCTTGCCTTACAAAGATGGCAAGGACCAGCTTAGCATCATGCGAAAAGGCGCGAAAGGCGTGCTTGGGGAGAGGGGAGAGGTGGCGGAGGCGGGAGAGTCTAGGCGGGGGAGGGAAATGGACAGCTCACTTAGTTTTCCGTCCAAACCAGGCAAACAAAGTGCAAGTTGGACAAATCACAACGAGCTCACTCGGAGGTAAAATGAGGGAACCCTGCTTTCCAGTTGGTGATTTTTTGTTTGTTTAACAAACCATTGGGTTTATGTCTAGAAAACAACGAATGCACAACTTCCCCATGCCTCTTGTTGTCTGGCAGCTGAGGCCAACGACAACGCGGAGCCCATCGCGCCGGCCTGAGTGGCGAAAAGACGAGTGCCAGGGGAGATGATTGAAATAGACCCAGAAACACACCACGAGATGTCACCTGATCTTATAAGTCGTAGATGGACCAACCCAAGTCAGATCTGAACTACCCCCCAGTTGATCTCTTCTCCCTATGAATAAATGCATCCGGCTGATTAATAGCCCTTTTTCTAAGACCCAGACATCTCCCAAGAATAATGAGAGTTAGCCACCACAGAACCAACTTCAAATTTCCCGACACAGTTCGGGAGGAACTTGGCGGTTCTCTCCCAAGGGGTTGCCATATCAAGCCACAACCACTCTGGAGGGATTTCCTCAGCCTCTCAAACAAGTCCAGACTCCAATCTTATCCGGGGACATTGTAGAACTAGCACCAGACTAAACGAATTCGAAACCAGCACAAAACAAAGAACCACTCAGACTCCGGCGGCTGAAAAGTTCCTGCTCGGAACTTGTGATTCTGAACGATATGGGCTCAGAAAAGGGAAGGGCATTTGGACGAGGACATAACCCCCGTGAGGGCACAACTGTGCCCTCTCCAAAGTATCTGTTGGCCTTGGACGCCTTTCCCAGGGTTTCGATCAACCCCAATTCCGCCGAATTTTTCCTCTCCGCCGGTCCCGCGCGCCGACCCCCCCCCCCCCTTTTCATATTTTCTTTTCTTCGACTTACGTCCCTAGTTTTTTTTCTCCCCCCGGTTTTGGGTGGGCTCGGATCTCTTCCCCCGCTTTCGGTCGGCTACGGAGATGCGGGGAACGATGGGAGCGCGACCAAACCGCGGAGCGCTCAGGCCGTGGCGCTGGATTTGGACACCAGCTTGCCCGCTGCGGAGGGGGAGGCCTTTGGAGCTGTGGGGAGCTCTCCGGGCTATGGGGGGGTCTGCGGGTAGGGGATGGCTCGGTGCCGTGTTTTGGTGGGGGTGGGTCTTCCTGGCCTTTTCTATTTTGGGGCTCGGTGCGGCCCCTGGTTTGGTGGTTGCTTGGTTCTTGTTTTTTTCTGAAGGACGCCAATGATTTGGAAGGGCCAAATGGCAGTTGTATCTTCATAAGGCATCACGGAAGATATCCCCCGATATGGACCTTCCTTTCAAAAAGGACGGGGACACATTTCAAGTAGAATGGCAGGAAGTGCTTTCGCGCAGTCGGAGTGAGTGCAGGCGCAGTGGTTGCGGGAGCACAACGCTGCCTGGGCTCGGTGCTCGGATCGCGAAGAAACAGTTGCTGGAAGGTGATGAAAGATCTGGGTGCATTATAACGACCTCACACGACCGAATTCACCCCAAATGGTGGTTTATGTGGGGAATAGCCCCCGAACCACCTTATTTCAGGCTGGAGAAATATCATAATTCACCCAGAAAGATGCTCCCTGGACATGCTGGGGTCATGAATTGCCTGGCTGTCACTAGAAAACTTGACCGTTCCTCGGGATCGAAGTCAGAGAATGGTTGGTTGCCTCCCTTGAACCTAATTTCACGTCAGAGCCCTAAAGAAGGCCAATCATCTAAAGAAGGGTTGCAACATAGACAGGTGGCGGGGTGTGTGGGCCAGACCTTGAGTGGGGGCTGGACAAATTGGGCCAGGTGACAAAACGCTTTCACCAGCTGATTTAGAGGATGCCCTTGTGAAGCGTGTGGTTTTTGGATGTATCCTTCAAAAGCACCCTGGAATCAGAGCGATGGGATTGGCCCAGGTGGACCGCTGCCAGAGTTTGAGCTTGCAGCCCATGCTGGACGTCTTGCTGAGGACACATGTGCCATGGTCGTTCGACCACTTGACTTGGAATTTTATAAGTCTCATGTAAAATGCTCAACGCATGTTGACCCAATCATGCTCCCAAATCTGGTCAGGGGAATGGAACCAGGTATGGCATGACCACTGCTGTCTATGGGACGAGAAGGGGCAAGAGCCACATGTCAACCACAAGCAGGGGGACGAAATCCAACATTCTCATGCCTGTGGGAACTGCATATTTTGGCCTTTGCTCAGCTTGGGGATACCTTGCTGCAGATTGACATGGCACCAACAGAAGCATTGTCCTTAGTCAGGCATGCATGTCGATGAAGCATTGGCAACGCGTAGTACGCATCGGCGTTTTCAGGTTTTGTCGTTGACACCTTCTTGGATCCGTTCCGAGCCAGGACAGACGCCGCCTTTCAAGCCTTGCTGTCCACGGCTCCGCGCCAATCTCGGAGGCTTTTGGGTGGTGTCCATTTGGCCATGGTTCAACACCAATGGTACCATTTCATGTTAGTCTATTTTAGTGGGGATTGGGATGTTCCCTGGGGGTCCGGCCATTTAAACCTTTTGGAGTGCAGTTTGAGGCTGATCAAACCTGTCAGTTACCGACCTTCAGTTTGCGGACTAAGACATTTCCCACCCGTTCCCTGGTGCAACACACAACTTGTAGGGCTTATGGCGGTTGACTTTTACGAGTTGGATCCACCAACTATTTGTTGGATCCCCGAATTCTGATGTCCTGTCCACCAGATGAAGCTTCAAATGCCCATTGAGCGATTGTTTTCGCCAGAAGAGGAACCATTGCAACCCGTTGCTTTGACCCTGAGAATCAGTCTTGGAACTTTTTAACAAGGGTGTTGCGTGCCATTGTCATTTCCGACGCCCCCTTGCTTTTGTTTTCTAGGGGCGGTCATCAATCGCTAGTAGATGTGCAGACAACCACAAGGGCGCCTTGTAAAGGAACCATGATCCCGGCCCACAAAGGGAGTTTTTCGGGATTCTTAGACCACCACCAGGGTCTCTAAAAAGACCGCCAGCATCATGAGCCTCGGGGATATTTTTGGAGACCGCCACCAGGCGTGTCTTTTCTTGAGGCCCGTTGCCAGTGGGTGGGTTTTCTCGAGAAACGTGGCCCCAAGGCCTGGGCTGATGCCCACCAACGTGGATGACTGCCTCAAGGAGAAAACCGAAAACGATTCGAAGCGAAAACGATTCGAAGCGATTCGATCCGAGCCGAATGAAGGGAAAGTCCCGTGGAGAACTGCGGGCTTGATTCGCTGGATGGGTTTTGGGTAGACTCCACTTTACTAGGTTGTGATTGTGACTCGGATGTGGGTGGCAAGTATTTTGGTTGAGGTACCCTGTGTGGGGTGTTTCCACAGGACAAGGCAAAGGAAACAAACACCATTTGGAGGGGGTCCATGCGGCATTTTACTGCATACCCAGATCGCGGCTGGACAATTGGCTTAAGGGAGGAGCGGAGGTAGGAATTGCATGCAGTCACCTGAGTCACAATCAAAACCTGGGTAGGTGAAGGTTGGTAAGGGACAATCCCAACCATAAATAGCTGCGGATATCCGGCTTCTTGAATTCTTGAAGCATGGTTCTGGGAGTACGACCATTTTAATACCGGGTTTTGGTTATGATTTACTTTGGGACCGGAATCCTCGATTCCTCTTTGGTCTCTGGTCGGGTTCCTGCGCGGGAAATGGAGATCGCCACGGGGCTTCGGCCCAGTCAGACTTTGGTTGCGCCGGGTTTCTATTTGACCCTTGAACGAACCCAAAACAACGAGGCTGGGACCGACACATGGCACCACTTTGTTTGAGGGCGCTCGATTCAGGGGTGGTTGTTTTGGGAGAGCGATTTACTGGACATGAGCTTTTTTTGGGCGTTTGGCAGGAAACCTCAAAGGGAAGCTGTCCAAAGCGAGTCACCTGCACTAGTTTGGGCTGGTGGCCAAACCACCAATCCAAGCCCGGCTAGATGAGCCATGGATAGCTGCGGACATCCGCCTTCTTGATTCTTCAGGCATGGTTCTGGGAGTACGACCAATTTAATACCGGGTTTTGATTGTGGCTCAATTGGAAGGAAGCTCCCCAAATGCAGCCGGAATGAGCGGGCTTGTTTGGTTGCAGGAGACCCGGACGCACATCCAAGAGCTCAGCAACCACCTGCAGGCCGGGTTTTGTCCGGTTTGCCTTGGGCTTGCCAAGCCAAGTCCATCTGATTCCAAGACGCGTTCTTATTGCGAAAGGTGGAGTCTCCGTTCTTTTCTCAACCCTCATTCCCTCTCAGACCGAAACGCACGGCCCTTGACCGCCTGGTTTTCTGGCAGAAAGAAGGATACTTGGAGGAACTTCGCCCTGCAAGCGTGCAAGGGCTCGGCTTCTGTTTTTTTTTCTTTTTCTTTTTTTTCCTGAAGGGCCCTGTACTGCGGGATTTTTCTAAACCAGAAGAACAACCACAATTTTGGGGGTCCCCCAAACAGGAGACGGCCATGTACCAAGAGGTTGGGCAGGCCCCAAAATCATGAGCTTGGGTTTCCTTTGGGCTTCCCTTCGAAGCAAACAAAAAAGTTTGCTTCTCCTCAAATACCGATTGCTTGCGTGCGTGCGTGCGTACGTGGGTGTGTGTCTGTCTCTGTGAGTGCTTGTGTGTGTGTGCGCGCGCGCCTGTTCCTAAGAGTGTGGTTTTTTCCGTGATTCTGGAGTCTTTGCGCACCCTGGCCCTTCGGGCCTCCTGATGAGGATGGGGCCAGGGTCCGAAACTCGCGGCCTTTGCAGAAGGAAGCAGCGAAGTAGGCCAAGAAGCAAGGGAGAGGGCTTGCCAAAGACCAAGAGCTTCCTGAACAAGCCGCGCACGTGCTTGGTGTGCGGGCGCGGGGCCTTGCAAGCGGCTGAGCTTCTTTTGGGCGAAGGTTTGCGAGGCTGCGAGGAGATCTGGCCGTTCAAAATTTTTGGAGCGAGCGTGCTAAGAGGAGGCGCCGGCGTGCTTTTCGCTCTGTGATCCATCTGCGTGCCTGAAGACCTTGACGCTTTCCGGGCCAAGTTTCAGCCACACGCACGCAGGTGCCCGGCCCAACCTTGTGCTTAAGATCCATGGCCTACCGCGGAGACCGTGTTCGAAGGCCTCACCAACGAGCTCTTCCTTGCCCACTTGTCCTTTGTCGAGGCGCGTTGGGCCCAGCCAACCATGATGGCTGCTCCCTCTACCAGCGGTGGATGCAGAGGTTCACGAGTTTTCGGTTTGTCGTTCCTGTTCAGGCGTGTGCGCGCCGTTCCTAACAAGTCTTTTCTGTCACTTTTCTCGGCTTCTGGAGTCTTTGCGCCAAGCCTGGCCCTTTGCGCGTCCTGATGAGGATGGGGCCAGGGGTCCGAAACTCCGTCGTCGGTCGCCATGAGTCCCTGCGGGTGCAGCTTGGCACCTTTTGCCGGCTTTTGCGTTGTCTGTTCCGGCTTCGCTGGAATCCGCCGCATACATGTCGACTCATGCAAGTGTGCTTGGTTGTGTGTATATTTGTGTGGTTGTGTGTGTGTGCTTGTCAAATCGTGTCGTTGAGCGGACCCCATCCAAATCGGGAGGTATCGCCTTTTGAGGCACCCGTTCGGGGTTGGAAACCCAAGGCAACCCCAAAGGGACTCTTTGTTGGGGCCCGAAGACGAAGCCAAAATGTGTGTGTGTTTGTTTTTGAGGGTACCCCTTTCTTGAGTGGTTTTAAAGGGAAGCCAAGAGGAAAACCGGCCATTTTAGGGGGTCCCCTAAAAAAGACACACCCAAATGGAATGATCATCATCAGGAGCAGATGGCTTCCATCGCAGAGCTGCAGGCCCTTGCAACTCGCGCACTCGCGCGGGTGGCATGCCGATGGGTGGCTTTGTGTTTGGTGCTTGTGCCACCCTTCTTGTTGGGAAAGCCAGAGAGAAACATGGTGAGGGTGTCGCGAAGTCTCGCTGCATTATCTTAAGATCCTTCTCTTCAGAATTGGGCCGAGCCTCCCGGCAAAATTGAGACGAGTGGCCCTGGAAATTGAGTGCTGGAAGTGGGAACAAGTTCTGGGTCCCTCCAACAGAATTGGCTGTGGGTCAAAATCAGATACCCAAAACATAACCCTGGTAAATGGAAACATGGGCCATATCCTGCGGTACCCTGGTGGTTTAATTTTGACCCATACCCATGTCAGAGTAGTCCAAAGCAAAGCAGGTTTTTGTTGGTCAGCGCCATTTCGGAGGAACCTTGCGGCATTCTCTCAAGCAGCAAAACCGCGTTTTCCCATTCATGGGAACCACGCAGTTCGACCATCAATCAGGAAATGGCCAGGGCACGGATATGTGAAAAGCGCTGCTTGTCATGTTTCAAACGGGTCCAGACTGGCTGAGAATCATAGGTCGATTTCTCGCTTTGAGCAATACTGATCAAGGAAGCACTCTGGACGCCGAATCCAACTGTGGATTTCGCAGGTTTTGCTCTTTTGCTTTTTGGAACAGTAGGTCCCATTGTGCACTCAAACTAACTAGACCGTGCTTTGGCGCGACCTGAACTTGTGATAACATGCAAGTCCCCCCCCCCCCCCAACGTCGCGAGACGCGAGTGTTCCACCACTTGGACGTGTCAAAGGCACCCCCAAGAATGGGTGGCTTCCTTTAGATCTCCGTTTAAAATGAGCTCGGAAATACTCTCATGGACTTGGCAAAGCGCGCTCAAGGAGAAGGTAGTGATGCACAATGCCTGTTCAAACCCGCGCTCGATTAGCAAGAAAAGCAGCTCACGAATGAAGCCTTAGCGTTGTGCTCACTAGCCTACGCAGGCCTCCAAAATCGTCCGCGCCCGCTTTTCGCGGGTCGCCGGACGTAGTCTCAGAATTCGTTCTGCTGCGCAGGAGGAGAGCGCCGCCTTGGGGCGGACGGTCCACTCCCTGCAGGAGAGCAAAGCCGGATGGATCTGTGTTTGGAGTTGGTCCCGTTTGGGGTTGACCAACAGAAAGCAGGCAAGTTGGGGGTAGGGACGCAATTTTGTTTGACATACCCAAATGTAGACGGTGGATGTGTAGAGTGGACAAAATCCAAGCCCATCGGCAGTGGATAAGCCCCGGTTCGAACCCTGGGATAAAGCTAACTGGATTCAACGGGGCCGGGTCTCTGAGCCAATGTTGACCCCAGAAGCAATCTGCTAGATGAACTTGGGGGTGTTTGCCCTCAAGGCATTTGGCATCCCCTCTAAAGTGAAAGTGGGACACCTGATCAGAACGTGTTTATTGATCCTGGGTTCCCCTCAATTCCCCTAAACCCCTATGCCATGCAAAGTGGGTGCGGCCGCTTTTCAACATATTCCCCATGTTGGAGCCCGACCTGTTTGACGCCAGGATAGTTGTTGTTGCTTCATGTGAAGAGGACAAGTTGGGGTCGCTGCCTGTCCCACTAACAACCCACCCAAGGCCAACTCCAGGAGAAGGCACCCAAGACTTCTGATTCCTTGAGCAACTGGCAGTGCGGACGGGCAGCCCGATTTTTCTGGTCCTGCGAGTATTTTTGTTTGGACCCCGGAGCGTTTCGGACCCCAAGTATTTTGGACCCCAACTGACCTGGCGTTTAGGACCCCTGGGCGTTCTCGCCCCTCAACCTGGCGTCTTTGGGGACCCCACACATTTTGGACTTTGGTGGTTTCTTTCTTGGTTGGAACCCGGCAAAAGGCCCCGGCCCCGTGCCCGATTTGGGTGTGTCTTTTGTTGGGGGAACCCCTTTTTGTTTGGTCTCTTACAGGGACACCAAAAGGACAACGGATCATTCACACCCATCTTTCGAGACCCCCGTTTTAATGGGACCCCAATTTCATCGTAGGTAACCCTATCCTAGGGGACCCCCTAACCGTTTAGGGGACCCCCCTAACCGCCCCTTGAAACAACCGGAAGAATCCCCCACCAGGCGGCGCCCCCAACCAAGAAGCAGCTTTCCCTCGAAAACCGCCCAAAGAAGAAAATAGATAAATAAATATTATATATATATATAAATAAAACACCAAACAAAAACAAAACCACACACAAAAAAAGAAAAACAACAAAAACACAACACACCGCCACTTCAGGCGGCGCAGCAGTCCCACCGCGCGGAGCTGCGGCAGAAGGTGGCGGAGGCCATGCGGAGGACCCGGGGGCGACGGGTGGCGGGGTGCTGGGTGCGCCGTGAGGACCGCGAAGGTCAGAGGCAAAAGCGGCGGGGAGCTGATTTTGGGGGTACCCCCGAAAGAAAAACCGGGAGAGCTCCATTTTTTGGGGGGTTGCTCCATTTTTTTGGGGTGTTTGTGTTGGTTTGCGGCCTCGTGACCTTTTCAAGAATGGTTTTTGGTTTTGAACAACCAAGAGGAGTCTTTTGCCAGAAGAGTTTCCCGTTGCCTTTTTTTTGGGTTTCCCCGTTTTGTGGACCCCAAAACAAGGAATTGTTTGGATTGGATCGCCAGTTGCAATTGTTTTTTCCGGGTTCACCAATCTTTCCGGACAGACCCATAAGAAAGACGGTCCATTTCCTCAAATGGCCTTTGGGTTTGCTTTTGGCTTGGCCGGACACAAAAAAGAAAACAAAGTGGGTCCCAGCCGAGAAATTCGGAGACATTGGACGAATTCCTTAAAGGGTGATTGACCTTAGGGGGCTAGCAACCTAGACTTGGAGGTTTAAGCCACTTGAAAAAAATCAAAGAGTTCCGGACGTCAGCATACTGACCGGCGAAAAAGGTTTCACACTGTTGAACCCGCAGCCCGATTGTCTTTCTTTTTGGGGGACCTCCCCTCAAAATGGCTGTTTTGCTTTTGGTGTTTCCCTTCAGAGCCAAAAAAGGGGGTTCTCTGGTCAAAAGAGACGAGCTGCCCATGTCAAGGCTGAGGGTCTCAGTTTCGCGTCAGGACGGTCGCCACCTTCGAGAAGCCATTGGACGACATGAGATCGGGGCTGCGGCAACAAAGCCAGGCGCGGAAATGTGAAGGTTGGCATCCGGAAGAAACAACGCAGCCGTTCGTGTTTCGGCTAACAGGAAACCAAAGAAGAGAACACCAAAAGGTCGCTTGAGCAGGAAACAACTGTTTTTCTTGAGCTTTTGTGCATGGGGTTTATGGTAAGGGCTGCCACCTGTACCATTTGGGAAACCAAACGTGGAAAGGGTCCCTTCAAGGATACATGTTGGCCATATTCTAACATTCGCCGGCTTTGGATCCGAATCCTTGGGAAGGTGCATTCTTGGATGAATTCTTGTTTGGACACCCCGTGCTATTTTCTTCACGGGGTTGAAAAGGTAAGGACAGACACCCGTGCAACCATCTTGGTAGAACCAACTGGCGGTTCTCACTTCTCGCTGGTGTTTGAGGGCACCTCTTCCTTTCCTTGGGTGATGCCACGAAACCCAATGTTGAAAGACATGTTCGGGGCTCAGACAAATGGATGTGTCTCAACATTTTCTGAACCCCCCAGCTTCCTGACTTTGGCCTTGAAACACACCCTCGACAAAAGGCACAAGGGGGTTGTTCATCTCGCCTTGTCTTTTTGGGGAACATCGCCGCCCGGGGTGCCAGACTGAGCTTCGGGCGGTTTTTTGGACCTGTGCCAGGCCCTGGCGAAGTCCCGGACGCAAGTTTCGCAGCTGCTGGATGGCGCAGAGCTGAGCTGACGGCGGTTTTTTTTGCGGGCGGGAGGTTTTCACGCGCCGGCCAGTTCGAGTTTCGAATTTTCGAGCACTGGCTCTTTTTTTGAAGTGGGCCTGCTTGGTGATCTCAGATGTGGCCATGGGTCAAAATCCAAATCGAACCCCCCGGTGAACATCCCAATCCCCACTAAAATAAACTAACATGGGTGGTGCACCTACCCCAAAAATGGTACCATTGGTTTTGACCCACAGCCATGTCACCTAAATTGGTGGTTTGAGCATTTGCCAGTTGAACCCCTTGCGCATCTTGACGGATGTGAAGCTGCCTCTTGGTGTCGCAGATTGGTCCGTTCGCTGAGACTTGGCGGCCACCGCCCACCGCGCTGCTGTGGCGCAGGCTGAAACCGGCGGCGGTTTTTTTTTTTTGGTGCCACAGATGGTGTATTTCACATATGGGTATGGGTCAAAATTAAACCACCGGGAATTGGACCGCAGGCTTTAGTCCATGTTTCCATTTATCACGTTTCATTTTGGGTACCTATTTTTGACCTACAGCCATGTGTGTCCACTGTTTCACTCGTTTGTTCCACTGATTCGCACTCCGTTTGCTGTTGTATCTCCACTGCTTTCGTTCCAGTACTGCTTAAATAAGTCATTTTTGTAGGGAACACTATGACTGTACATGGGTTGAGGTTTTCCAACCTTTCGAGGAACCAGTGAAGCGAGCATGTTGCCTGCAAATTCTACAATAATCCCAAAACCTGAAACAAGAACGGGACCCCCAGGTAGATAACCTACATCATAGTGAGCTCGTTTTACACTCCGGCGAGCTCGCCAGAAAACTGGGATTTCCTCCCAAGCTTTTCTTTGACAGCATACTTTCAAGGTAGGCTAAGTATGAAGCTGGATCTGCAAATATGAGCCTCCATTTGCTTTTTTGGGAGGGGGAAAAATTGTGAAGCAAAATCTGAATATATGAATTGACTGTGGGTCAAAACCAATGGTACCATTTGGGGTAGGTGCACCACCCATTTTAGTTGATTTTAGTGGGGATTGGGATGTTCACTGGGGGTGCGATTTGGATTTTGACCCATGGCCATATGTTTATTTCACATATACTGCTTTCGTTCTAGGGAGAAATGTGAAGCAGAATCTGAACATTTGATTTGTGTGTTTTCCTGCGGGCCAACCACATCGGCAGATCGGCTTCAGGCGCCGGCCAAGGAAGCTCACGCTGCTGTGGGCCCCGAGTGGCAGGCATGGAGACGCTCGGTTTGGATGCTGCTGGAAATGAAGTTGGGTTTGTCTCAAAAGGAGTTGCCCTAAGCGGAAGTCCCCCCCAAAGTGGCAAACAGAAGTTGGTGGGTTTGCCTCTTGTTGACCTTTGCTTGGCAAGTGTTGTGTTTGTTTTGTGTTGTTTCCCTTATACCAACCAAAGGAGGCACTGTGGCAATGACTTTTGCTGTGGGACCGAATTCTGGTGGACATCAGAATTCGGCGGCGGGGATAGCTGTACGAGTGTTTCTCAAAAAATTGGAGCTCCCTGAAGATGGTAGGTTGCCTTTCAATTTCTGTTTCGACTAGTGAAAAGGGGTTGAGCAAAACAGAGGGGCCCCGACAATGGAGGGTTGTCCTTTGCTTTCTCTTGAAACCAAGCTGCTGAGCAGTTCTCTGAAAGGGTACCCTCAAAAAGCAAACACCCACACACACGCGCACACACAACTCACACAACACACGCACACGCACACGCACACGCACACGCACACACACACGCACGCGCGCACGCACACGCACACGCACACGCACACGCACACGCACGCGCACACGCACACGCACACGCACACGCACACGCACACGCACACGCACACGCACACGCACACGCACACGCACACGCACACGCACACGCACACACCACACGCACACGCACACGCACACGCGCACACACACGCACACGCACACGCACCCGCACGGCACGCGCACACGCACACGCACACACACACACACACACACGCACACGCACACGCACACGCACACACACGCACACACACACGCACACGCACACGCACACGCACACGCACACGCACACGCACACGCACACGCACACGCACACGCACACGCACACGCACACGCACACGCACACGCACACGCACACGCACACGCACACGCACACGCACACGCACACGCACACGCACACGCACACGCACACGCGCACGCGCACACGCACACGCACACGCGCACACGCACACGCACACGCACACGCGCACACACACACACACCCCACACACACACACACAGAAACCACATAGGGACTAGACGAGAGTAAGGCGAATATATCGTTTGCCCATCTATGCGGGTATCAGTGAATTCAATCGGGCTTCTTTGCGCCTTTGGGACGGGGTTCTCCGCGTGCCAGTTGTTGTTTGAAGCTTGTCTTCAGAGAGAAACTGGGATTCCAAGGAAAGCATGGGAGGAGAGGGGTGGGGTTTCGAATTTCCCGGGCCCCGGCAGTTTTGGCACTTTCACATGGTTGAATGGAAGGCACCTGGCTTGTGGCATTTTTTGCCTTTGCTGCAATGATCATCAACATACTCTAATTGGGCATACGGGGGTACCTCCTTTCCCGGGTGTCAAAGGGGAACAACAGGAGCACCGATTTTGAGGGTTCGATTCCTATTTTCAGACAACTTATTTCGAAAACATTGGAATCTTGGCATCCCCTTTCCCATCGGGACTTGGTATCCTTTCGAGTGGCTTTTTCGACGGGGGAGCAGCAGAGTCTTCGATGTAGGCCAAACGCATGGCCTGCGTTTGGGATGGTGCCATTTGTAGTCCCTTTACCGCCAGGCCAAAAGGGGCGCCTCATTTGACCAGACATCTAGGAATAGTCATTGATTGCAGGCATAGTAAACCATTCTGGGGCTCCCCCCCAGTTGGGTGAAGTAGATGGCAGCGTCTAATTTTTTGGTGACCTAAACAAAAACAACACAAACAAAGAAAAGTAAGAAAGAAGAAGCATTCGTCCTTTTGGTTTCCCCTTAAAAACACCAGAACGGCGGTACCAACTCCCAAAAAGACACCCAGACATGTTTGACCATGTCAGGACTTCATCATGTCCGAAATCCGGCAGGCGCGCTTCGGGGCAGGTCATGTAAAGGTCCTAAAATTGGAGGACCCTTGAAGGGGAAGGGGAGAGGAGGGGGGGGGGAGAGGGGGGTGGAAAGGGAACTTAAGAGGAAGCCACTCAGTTGGAAGCGCTTTTTAGTTTTTTTGGAGCTGACAGTGTGAACGGTAGGTGGTAGGTGGTAGGTTCTATTGTTACTTCGGCAACGGCATACGGCATCACCCGTTTAATTTGACAGCCGGTTGTGGCTCTCCGCGTGGAAGATCCGGTAGCTTTCCTTGGAAAGGCGGTCCTGTCCAAAGGGACTTCGTTTGGGACGAGTTTTTCGGGTTCCCCTCGCTGCTGAACTGCCAGGGTCCCTCAAGAGGGCTTAAGGAGTTTGTGCTCAAAGCCCTGTTTGAACTCCCGTGCTTTTTGGTTACTCCCAAGCTTTCAAACACACGCAGTTACCCCAAGCAAACTGAGTTTCTGAGAGGCTCCCCAGACCTTCCCAACATTTTTGCCTTTTTGGTTGAACATTTTGGTGGGGTGATGTTTTTTTGAAAGAATCTGGGGAGCCCTGGAAAGTCTACTGGCTCCGTGCCCAGCCTGTTCGACCAAAGGCTCGAAGGTATACGATGAGATGGCGCCAACTCAAGGGGCAACGTCGAGCCTAGACAATCAAGCTGATGGACGAGTGTCTTCTTTTTTCTCCGAGACGCCCCCCTTTGTTCTTTTTCCATAAACATCACCCGTCTTCTTTTGAGGAGCCTTTGCACGGACCTGGGCAAAAAAGGCTTCGGCCCTAAAACGGAAAAAAAAACACCAAAAAAACAAACAACCAGAATAACAAAGTACTAAACCAAAGTAAGGAACACTCAAAATGTATAATCAACAAAACAAGGAGAACCTCAAAATGGGGGCACCAACACAACAGCAGGTGCGGTCCATGGGCAAGACCCTGGTGGCGAACCTGGAGGAGGGCTGCAAGGCGAGAGGGAGCCCAACGGTTTTGGTCGGAGCAAATGATCGCCGTGCCTTTGGTGTTGTTCTTTTTTTCTTTTTTTTTCTTTCTATTTTGTTTTTCCACCCAAGTACCCTTCTTTCTTTCTAGTTGCACTTGAAATGTTACCCAAACAAAACAGTCGCGGTTGGTGCTTTCTCTTTTATTTTTTTCCAGGCACGTTAAGCTTTACCCTTTACCCAGTCACAGTTGGTGGTAAAAAAACAAAAGGCAAAAGGGGAAGGTCGGAGAACCCAAGCCGAGCCGATCTTTTGTGTTTCCATTGGGTTGTCCTTTTGGATTCCTTGGTTGCCAACCACTTGGTTGCCTCGAAGCCCCTGGGCTGACCGCGTTTCGTCCGAGTCGAGGCAGTGGAGAAGCGCATGCAGCAGGTGATGGAGGCGCTGGCCAACGCGTGGGCCGAGTCGTTGATTCCCGGTAGAGCTTGATTTACATTCCCTTGAGGGCCCCCAAGCGACCCAGAAATGGTAGCTTATCCTATTTAGTTGGAAATCGCATCATTTGTGTGGGTTTTCTCCGTGGTCATTCTGTGTTATGGACCTTTTGATCAACTACCATGTCCATGCAGGTGCTCTTTTTAGGTTAGTTTGGTTAGATATTGATGGCACCGGTCAAGATTGGTTTTATTCCAGTTGCCACGATTTCTCAAGAGGGTCACCTACGCTGACCTACGCTCGTGCATGATTCCAGTTTATTGTTGTTGATCCTGCCTCTTGCATGTGGAGGCTTCCGAAACGAACAAACGCTTGGCTATGATGTTCTTCTCAAAAGTGGTGGACCTGAATTCCCCACGTAACAACTGTAAAGATCCGGGACCCATGGGTGTCCCGTTTGGTTGGTTTGGTTGAAAAATAGATGGCGATTCCTGATTTACCTGGTGGTTCAATCATTTACCAGGGCCATCTATGTTCCCAAAGGGACCCCCAGGACCCACGTGTGCCATGATCGACATACTCCCTTTGGAGTTTCCCATGAATATCGTCTTCCGGGGAGTTGGTACCCTTTTTGGGCCTTTCGTTTTTTTCCAGCCCAAAGGGAAGACCCAAATCCAGCTGGCAGGCCCGAGTTTCATTTGTTGAGATATGTCGGTTTGGATGTGCACCTTTGGGTGGTTTGACCACTCAGCTTTTCACGAGCTTCGTGCTTTCAGAGCCGGACGAAAGAAAGGGCGTACCTCGGTGTGCCTTTGGGAAACCCTAAGCAACCGAAAGGGGGTTGTTTTTTTTTGTTTGTTTGAGGCTAGCCAGCGTTAAAACCCTTTAGGGCCAACCGAAGGGGCTTTTTTTTTTTTTAAAGAGGCTGGCCAGCTTTAAAAGGAAAGCCAACAGGAAAACCATCATCTGGCGGGGGGTCTTGGGTTCCCCCCAGAAAACCGCCCAAGGCGATCTCCGGAGAGGCCAAGCCGAGGTGCGACCGAGCGAAGACGCGTCGGTCACGACCGAGCGCTCGGTTTTCTTTTTCGGGCTCCCCGAAATTCGCCCGGAAACAGGACGGGGTGCAAAATACCGAGATGGCCAAGCTCAGCTCCTTTTTTTTTTCTTCTTCAGTCACTGCTGGTTTTTGGAGGGTAAAGTGGATGGAAAGAAGCCACGCAACTGGCGATCCGGGTAGGTGGGTGTTGAATAGCTCGAAAAAATGAGTTGTATTTCAAGAGGGTAGAGATGGAACGGAACGGTTCGCGGATTTGCCGCAATTGTCCAACCGAAAGCTGTAGGGATGGCCAGTACCATCCCTTCGAACATATCCAGTCTTGGCTATTCGGGGTTCGGAACGTGGGGGACGTGTCACCAAATGACCATTGAAAGAGCCGTTGCATTTTGAACTTGGCGGAGAGGAGGCTTTGGGAACAGTTCTCTTGCCATGGGTGCAGATAAAGAGCCCTTTTCGCCATTTACACGGTTTTGGGTAGACCGCTTCAAGGCGCGTCATGACGCCTTCGCATCCACATGAACAGGTACAGGTACACCTTTACCGATACAGTTAGGAACTCAAAGCATTGGGCAGTCCTCTGGGCCATGGAAATTGACTGGGGGTCCTTTGGATTACTTTCCTGTTGTCATTTGGCGGTCAAAACCAATGGTACCATTTTGGGGTAGGTGAATTCACCACTCATTTTTAGAACCTATTTTAGTGGTTGGATTGAATTGGATGTTCGCTGGGGGTACGGAATTCGGGATTTTGACCCATGGCCACTTCCCTGGCTTCCATGGCAAAGCCGCGTTGCCGTTTTGCGGTCGTCCCCCCACCGCCCCGCCGAACATCTCTCAGCGCGCTTCGCCCACTTTTGCACTTGGGCTCAAAACAGTGCGCTCTGTGCGTGATCCTGATCCATTTGCCGAACGACAGGTGGGGATTCGAGGGATCGGGCACCGGAAGAGTGGGGTGGGGGGGTGGGGGCGTCGTTGGAGTCGTTTCGGCGCCGCCTTGCAACCGATATAATGTATCAATAGGGGATACCTGCAAGGACCGCCTATTTTCACAACAAGTGGCTACATCCGCTTTGAGGGTTCTGACGGCTTTGGTTCCATGACGAGCGCTTAGAGGGTAAGTTTGATGTCACTGTTTCCCAGTAGCATTTTGGTGCTGGAACGGATGGTCCATGAAAACAAGTCTTGGGCCAAACTTGAAACAAGACGCGGCCGGGTTGGCTTCGGATGAAGGAAGAGCTTCAAACAATTGTGGTGAAAGCGTGTTTTCAGCCACAACTCTGGGCCCATTCACTGCCACAGGCCCAATGAACCGAGGGACGACCAATCAGCTGATGGGTCTTGGAACTGAGGCGCCATGACCCTGCTGCGCCGCGCCACACAGGTCGGAGGGGTCTGCCAACCCCAACCCTCCCCCCCCCAGCCCCCGGCCCCAGCCGGCGATCTCTTTTTTGGTTGGGCCTGAAAGGCGCTGCATGTGAGAGAAACCTTGTGGTGCCTTAAGGATGCCAAGGATTTCAGGGAGTTTCCGGAAAGCCTTGGGGTTCCGTGAGGGGGGGTAAAGGAGAGAAGCGAGCGGGCACAGGACCTCGGGTTCTGTTCGGAGCTGCTCCTTGCGCACCTTTGTTTGGTGAAAAGGCGTGGCCTCTGCCTTGCCCCATACTCAAAATACTCGTGTACCCCCAAAAGGGGTGGGTTTTCCCTTTTCAAGACCACCCCGCAAAAGGGTTCCCTCGAAAAAAGATACACTCCTGAATTGGACATGGATGACCTGCTTTTGCTTTCAGTGTTCAATGATTTTCGGCGGTCACCCCCCATTCGGGAAGTTGCGACAAGTGCCCCGTGATCACTTTTGCCAGGTTCGAGGTTTGCTCAATTTGATCAAGTGTAGGTGCGTCAGTTGTCTTTTTGGGGACCACCCAAAACGGTGGTTCTCCTTGTGCTTTCCCTGTAAAACAGGTACCAAAAAGGGGCTACCAACAAAAACGGGTGGATTTGGCAGATGGATTCGTCATCTTTCACCACAACAGCTGCCTGGATTGAACCAGCCCCCCCCCAAGTGCTCAAACTGGAAGCCCCTGAACCCCTAAACCAAAGTGGTTCCAGAGACACCAAAATGAGAAAAGAAAATCAGAGGGAACCAAAGTACCGAAGGCAAACCGTCCAAAGCGGCCCGCCAAGTGGGTTAGCTGCTACGCTGTGAGTCGAAGCACTCAAGTTCATGCCTCTTGGTTCACCTTGTTACCAGCCCTGAAATAAGATGAACAACAGCAAGCCGATCATTCGGCGTCTGTAAAAGGGCGTATGTACAACCACCATGAATCCAGTTGTCGACTAGAGACCCCCCCAAAAGAAAGAAACACACTCAACCAGGTTTGTGTAGCAACAGGGTTCCCCAATTTTTTGACCTTGCTGCAACCCCATGGAAAAGGGAAAGAACTGGCTTTTCTAGACCAAAAAAGGACACCATGTTGGAGGACATGTTTTCTTTGGTGCATTTTGCTTGGATGTTAGGACTTGAACTTTTTGCCAACGAATTTGGGTTTTCCGTATTAAACCTCGAAAAGTTAAACTTTTAGCAGGGCTTAGCAGAAAGCAACCGAGCTTTGGTGGAGCTTCTGTGGAAGGCTTGCAGGGATGGCTTGGACATGTTCAGGTGGGTGCCCGTGGTGCTCGCAGCGCGAGCACGGCAGTGGTGGCTTCCAGCCAGGCGCAGTTGTGGAACCAAAAATTCGGGGCGCGTGCGTGCGTGCGTGCGTGCGTGCGTGCGTGCGTGTGGGTGGGTGGGTCGGTCCCTGAAAATGGGAAAGTTTTTTTGGTTTTGGCTTCCTTTTCTCTTGCACCCGCAAGGGGGTCCACCATTTTGCGGAGAACCCTGGATCGGGCAGCCCCCTTTTGACCACATTTTGAGGGGTCCCCAGGGTGATGTTGAACTCCTGTTTGTATTCATAGGGTGCATTTCATTGGACAAGATGGCCGGTGGGGAGAGATTCGCAAGGACCGCCCATTTCTTTATGGCTCTTGTCGGATCTTCGAACTTTTTCACTTTTCGATTGAAACACAGGAAGCACTTTTTCCGCATCGGAGCCGCCTGGAGTGAACGGGAGATTGCTTCTGCTTCGGACCCCAGAAAAAGTGAGGGCAGAACAGCAGAGGGGTCTGGCTGTGGTCGTTAAACCGATGTTCACTGACGGGCTTTGGATTTTGACCCCCGTCTCGATCCAGGAGTCCTTCGCTCAGAAGACCTGGCGTTGGCATCTCGGCAGAGCCTTCGCCTTTTTCTCGACTGCTATTGGGTAACGGATGTTTAGACTTTGACTTTTCGGTTGAAATCAAGTTGGGTTTTCCGGACTAAACCCGCGAAATGGTTTTAACCTTCTTGCAGGGGGTCAACAGCAACCAAGAATGTTTTTCCCCTTGTCCCCTGGGGACCGGAACAAAGGTGGGTGTCGTGTTTTTTGTTTAAGGAGCTGCCCTTTTTGGGGGGGTTCGACACCCCACAGTGGGGTGTTCTAGCGGGGGTCGCAATGTCGCAAGTTGTTCAGGCCACCCCAGTTGGGACTCGCTTGGAAGCCGGCCTCCAGGTCCTTGGTCCAAGTCTCTGTTCAACGCTCCGAAGGTTTCGAGCGATGGCAGGGTGGTTTTGGGATCTGTTTTGGGAACTTGGACGTGGGGACTCGCTTCCTTTTTGGGTTCACTGGGGCAAGAAGCAAAAAACAACCAAACCTTGGTTGGCATTGAAACCTGGGAACGGCCATGGGAAAAGACACGAGGATCCCGGCCATAGAAGTCACCAAGGGAAGCAACCAAGCAGAAACCCGACTTTGAGAACCGCTTCGGGGGAACGTACAAGAAGGAGTTTTGGGTTTGGTGGGTTCTTTCGCTGGAAGCTCGTGTGGGCCGGTGAAGCACAAACTCCCAAACGAGGGGGGATTCACATGGTGCAAAAAGAGGAGGTGTGGTTTTTTGTCCATGATATGGGTTTGCTTCCGCTGTCCGCTGTTTGGCTTTCTGGTACCCCCCAAAGGAAACAGCTCCCTTTCCAAAACTTTGGCTGAATTTAAAGGGACACCAGAAGGACACCACCATTTTGTGGGTACCCCTTGAAGGGCGACTCCGCGCCGTCGTTGTGGTTGGATGCCAGGCTGGATGTCACTGGCTACTACACGCGCGGGCCTCGGAATTTTTGGTTCCTAGACAGACCTGCAAGTGGCGTCTCAAAAAGGATTCCAGGATTCGGAACCCGCACCATGGGCCTGTGCGGTCGGTTGGCCAGGAAACAAACCCAACCCAAAAACGGGTACCCTCGAAAAGGACGAAGCGTTGTGCAGCCCCGCGCCGGATTCGCAAGCCCCCAGCCTCTGATTTGCGTGTGTCGTAACATAGGCGCGAGGCCCCGACATATGGCGGTTTTTCCAACTCAGCCCTTCCCCAGAAGATGCATCGCCATAGACTTTCCTAAACCGTTCCTTAAACTACAAGAAGTGTCCCAGCTCAGTTTCTCCAGAAAGGTGCCCCTTCAAGAGGACATCTTCCTGGCCAACTCCAAAAAAACAACAACTTCCCACCCCAGTTCCCCTTAGAATCAACTCGGGTGATATCCCCAAGACCACACCCGTATGGGTTCAGATGCGGAAGGTACACCCCTGGCAATGGAACCTTCTGGGCTGAGACTAAAAGAGAATCCCAGTCCCTAAAGCAACAGACTGAACAAAGTTTTCTCGCCAAGCCCCTAGCAAAGACCAAAGAAAAAGCCGACTTTTTTCCGGCCTTTTCCCGGCCGAGGCCTTAAAACAAAACAGACCTCCTGGCCCCAGTCCCTTCTTCTTGCTGACAAACAAAGGGAGCGCGGCACTCCTGGCCAGGAAGTGGCACTCCCGCCGCGCCTGGATTCTGGACTTGGATCCGCCCCAGCGCTCCGCTGCTGCCCGGAAACCCCGGGCGATCGAAACTCCGAAGCTCGGATCGGCGCCGGAGCGGTGCGTGGTGTTTGGCCGGGGTTGAAAAAGGCGGTTCTTTGATTCTTCTTCTTCTTGTTTTGGTTGTTTTATTGTTAACATGACTCTTCTTCTCCTTCTTTTTTGTTTTTCTTTATTGTTGTTATTTTTGGGGGAACACGGTTTTTCTTGTTGGTTTCAGAGAAGTATAGGTGACGCCGAATCGATCGGGAAGCCTCAAGGTGTGGCACCAAACTGTGGTTTGGGGAGGCCCGAGTTGCCGAGTCAGGCCCAAGGTGGCAACGAGTTCCGTTTCTTCTCTCTTGGGATATGTATACGTTCAAAGACACCTTTGATGCAACCAACTCAGTATGCCGTTTTTGTTGTTTTTTTTTTGGGGGGGGGTGTTTTCCGGTGAAGCTGAATATGAGCAACGCCTGAGCTATTTTTTTACGCAAGCCCTTCCAGCTCCATTCGGAGAGCTGCAGGTCCTCGTCACGGAGTATGAACGCAAGCTGCTGCTTTGGCTCACTTGGATGCGCCGGAGCTGCATTTCAGGGCCCGAGAAAGGGAAGGAAGGAACCGCTTCCCCAGGCCCTCGGCGGGAGGAGGGGGGTGGTTTTCCTTGGCTAAGCGCCCAGATCCAACAAACATCTCGGTCCCAAGGCTATTGAGGGCCTTGGGGGCCTTGGGGCCTTGTCAGATTCAGACTCTTGACCCAAACTTTGGGTTGCTTCAGCTCCAGGTTGGCACTTGACTTGCATGACCCTTTTCGACTCCACCGCGCCAAAATCGGCTTGTAGTTTCCTTTCTTTTTTGGGCGCAAAGTTGCAAGCTGCCGCGGTTAGGAACTTCTTCTTCCTTCCCATCAGCGTTTGGTACTGGCGCGGCTCTCAGGGAGCTTCACGTGTGCTGTTGAGAGGTGGACACCAGGGAGTGTTTTGCAATGGGGAAGCCGCCCAACCAACCGATGGGTTTTGACTACTTGGGCCCCACTTAGAATTTTGGCTTCCTTTCAAATCCACAGGACCGTGCAGGCAGCAATCAGGGGCAATCCTGTTTCAAGCTTTATAAAGAATGCGCAGCGAAACATTGCCCTGTTAATTTATACAGAACCTACACACCTCTTGCTGAACCCCCTCAGCTGCAAGCATCTTTTCAGCACCCAGTCAGCGATCTTGCTTCTTTGGTCGAGTGTTTGAACTACTTAACCGGGACGGCCTCTGCTGTGTGTCCTTCGGAGCAAGTACGGCCCTAATGACCAGTGTTATGCTGCCCAGGCCAGCCAAGTTGGTATATTATCCAATGCAGCAACGTTTGTAGGACAGTGTCACTCACTTTACACGAACCAATCCTCCAATCCTCCCTTCAACTGAGATAGTCCTTGCGCGAGGGACCTGCGGGTAAGTTTTCTCTTGAAGGGATTTTTATTTCCCGTGAGGCACCATACAGTGGATGGCCTAAATCCGCCTCACCCCCGCTGGGATTGGCAGTTCATGCAACTGAGCACCGCGCAACCCCCCCCCCCCCCCCCATGGGTCCTTGGTCATTGGCATGTTCAGCAGGTGGTTCTACTACCTGGTCTTACAGTTGCAGTGGTCCCTGGTCTTACAGTTACCAGCAAGGCCTATCTAAACCCCAGCCCCTGGTTGGTACCAAAGGTCAGCTCGTGCCGGGTTGGGTTTTTTGGGATGGCCTGGAGCGCCAGGTACGGGCAGTTCACCCACCTCTCCTCCAAGCCTCCGATCCCCTTGATGCCCGAGTGAGCCTGAGAGAGAGAGTGATGCAAGTGACCGGAGTCTTTTTTCCTCCATTGTTTTCATTTTTTTTCTTTTGAATTCCGGAAGAGAGAGCGAGTTGCAACCGACCGGTTTTTTTTTGGGGATGGACCCCTCAAAGACGCACCCAGTTGCAACCGACCGTTTTTTTGCTGTTTCCGGATGGACCCCTCAAAGATGCACGCAAAAAAAGCGTGGGCTGCCATGTTTTTTTTCTCCCCCAACATGCTGACTGCTGGGTAGGGGGTGGCGCCGCACTGAGCGTTGACACGTGCACCTTTTCCTTCGCGGAGGGGACGCTTGGCAGGTACCAGTACCTGAACGGGCGCAAGCGTGATTTCTCCCACGTGGGCGGTCGTTGGCACGACTGCAAGGATCCATCGGCTTTTCGCTGTCGATGACCCGTCCCTCTGCTCTTGTTCCCGTGGTGCGTCATGTTGTGGGGCCACCCCTTTTTTGGGGTGGCATGAAAGGGACACCAACAAGAAAACCACATCTTTGGAGGCCCCGACCTCCATCTCGGAAGGGTCTAAGATCCTTTTTTGGTGGTTTCCATATGTCTCAGGGATATCACTTGGCCCCCAGTTTGAACAGGCCCCCCACTTTCCACATGAATCTCCCCGTTTCCCATGCAAGAATATCACCAGAATCCAAAAAGGATTTCCGGAAGCCCCCAAACTGAGCCTCCCTTTTTGAAACCTGCCCCCCAAGGATTTGGACGCCCCGAAAAGGATTTGGACACCTCACCTTCCCCAAAGGATTTGGACGCCCCAAGAAGAGGCGACCGCTCCACATCTCTCAGCTGGAGAGGAGTGCCGCTGGCTAGAGTTCGAGTGCAAGAAGATCTGCTTCGACAGGCCCCGAACGAATCTGTTTCTTTTTTTGTTTGTTTGTTTGTTTTTTTCCTTCTTCTTTCTTTCTTCTTCAACGTTTTTTCCTTTTTTTCTTCTTCTTCGTTTGTGTTTTCTTCTTCTTTTGCTTCGTTTTTTGCTTTGGTTCTTTGAGGCTCCGTTTTTCTTTTTGTGTGTGTGCGTGCGTGTGTGTTTTGCACTTCGGAATGTCGTACTATTCTTTTTGTTTGGCGCAAAAAGTCGGCTTTTCCCTCTAGCTGGTGAGTGGTGGGATTTGAATGCTTCTTGAGGGTAAATGGGGCTTGCCACACTCGGAAGACCAAACCACCAATCCAAACCACCAACTAGTGGGAAGCTTAAAAAGGGTAAAGAGGAAACCCGCCAATTGTGAGGGTCCTATTTTGAGACATACTCATGCGGTTTTCTTGACATGGCGAAACATTTCAAGAGTGGGAACCTCCAAGGTGGTTGGTGGACACAAGTTTCCATGTACATGATGTCCGCCAAAGGGTCCCCAAGAAATTTCCCCCCAGATTAGGTTTGGTCAAAGGCCTGCCCACTTGGGATTGGTATGGATAGGGAATTTGGACAGCCATTGCAAGGAGTCCAACATTTTCCATTGGCCAGAGAGTATGAACCATGGCTCAGATGGCTGTGGCTCAAAAAGCCGGAATTCCAACATGGGTGGCCCGATCGGTAAGTGGAGACATGGGGACCAAAACCTGCGGAGCCAGCCCCTCCGATCGTGTAATTTTGAGCCACCCCCAAATTGGGTGGCCCGTCTTTGCGTTTTGCTTCGACGTCCAAACGGACGAGACAGGCTGCGCGATGAAGGCCGCGAGATCTGGGGCTTGCGCCGCCCGCGCACTCAAACCATTGGCCGCTCGGCGCGAAAAGCGGTGGGGGGTCCATGGCGAACCCAAGAGGGGCCACTCAAACGGCTCGGACATTTTCCTCTGCACTTCTTGGGGAAGTGCTTGGTTTTCAAGTGTACCACTGTTCCCCTTGAAAAACCCTTAGATTTTGTGTTTTGGGTATACTCGCGAATGGTTCACTGTTTCCCCTCAAGAGCCTTTGTGTTGTTTTCGGGATACCCGCAGATGCTTGGTCTACCAGTGCTAGCCTTTGAGTTGTTTGTGCAGCACTGTTTGCCTTCGAACGCCTTGCATTGATCTTCTTTTGGATTCCCACACATGATGGATTACCCTTGTGTTTCCTTTGACCACTCCAAAGGTGCGGAACAGTTTTTCTGACCCTTTCACCCACCCCACCCCACCCAACCCAATCCCGACCCCACCCCACCCCACCCCACCCCACCCCAGCCCAGCCCAGCCCAGCCCAGCCCACGTCTTCCCTCGCCCAGGTTTTCACTGAGCACGGGAACGGCCTACGAACTCGAGGGCAGCACTGCGAATCCGTATCGCTGCTGGTGTTACATGGGTGAACACGGCGAACCAACCTCTTGGGGGACCATCGAAGTCACACCAACCACCTGGAAAAGAAACATGTTGGTTTCTGCTGCCGGTCGATTTTGCTGTCTTTAAGTGCAGCCGCGGATGCAACCAGCCTGCTTGCTTGCGACAAAAGAGGCGCCTGCGGCTTGTGCACTTGCACGCAGCGCGGTTGGCGAGTGCGGAGGACGAGGAAACAGAACAAGTCGGACCTTTTTCAGAAGGGTTTCATGCTGCCATGTTCTCTAATTCCAGCCGTAGCCTTAGATATTTGACTTCTAGGGCGTCTAGGGCAGATCCTCAGTCACAGGTCCAGTGTCCCGTCGTCGTTTTCCCGCGAGGCAGACCTCTGGACAGGAAGGCAGGACATGGAGCAGCAGTTTTCTTTCTCCCTTTTTTGCGTTTGTTTTTCTCCCCCGTTTTTGTTTTTTAAATCTTCAGCCTTGAGCTTCTTTTTTTTTTTTTGGGGGGGGGGTGAGGTGTTTGGTTTTTGGCTGGGGAAGAGAGGGAGGATGTGTTTTTTGGGTTGGATTTTTAGCTGAGGCCAGCCTGTTTTGGGTTTGCTCGAGGGAAGGGCGGCAAACAAAGGCAAAGCAAAGCACCTCGCATGGGCAGGGCATGTCTTTTATGAGGGTACCCGTTTTGAGGTGGTTTTTGAAAGGGACCATTTTGAGTTCCTGTTTTGAGCCAAACCCACATTTCTAGGGCTTGATCCCTTGTTCTTTGCAGCCATCGTTCGTTTATCAAGAACCGATCGCCATTTTCCTTTCAGGGACAGTTTTTGGTGGGTTTTCTAGAAAGATTCGGATTGGCTTCATGGAGTTGGAAGTTCGCCCTAGAAAAGACCCGGTTCCAGATTCCATGATTGGGTCCAAGGGTCTCAAGAACGTCCACTTCCACGTCGGAAGAGCCCAACGAATTGGAGGCTATGGGTCAAAAATGGCAACCCCAAAACGGGTTGCCCTGATAAATGGGTTACCAAAGACTAAAACCCGTGGTCTTCCTGGTGTTTTTGTTTTTTTGGCCCATACCCATTTGTTTTGTCGGCGAACATGGGGTCCTGGGAGCCGTGGGGCGTCCTCCCGGTCCGTGTCGCCTTTCAGGCGAGAAAGAGACGCAGGCGGAGGCCCGGGCCGCGGGGCTCCGTTGGACTGCTTGGTGGCTCCCAAGCCTTGCGAACTCGGCGGGAATTTTCCGGTATTTACTTTTTTCGGGGATCTGAGGGCAGCCCAGTCCGATTAAATGTGGCTTCCATGTTGGTGTTCCTTGCGATGCCGAAGAATGGTACCCTCAAAAAGGACACACCCACGTGCACACCCGTGGTTCCTGTTTTCGCATTTTTGGTTTTTGCCTTTTTGGTTTTCGCCTTTTTGGTTTTCCCTCATTTTCCATTTCAAGCAGCAAACATGTTGACTTTTTGCAGGGGGTCTGAGTCTGGTCAAGTTACAAGTGCTTGATGTCTCTGTCGGCCAGCGTGTTGGTGTTTCACATGCAGCATGAATTTGA